AATGCCGTCCAGTATCTTGAGGCATGATAGAAACAAGCACGGTGTTGATATCTATCTGTTCAGGCTCATATTACGCCCTATTATTAGATTTTTTCTTTTGTTTGATTTGTATCAGTCTCTCTGTCTTCAATCGGTCCCTCATTGCTGTGGATCGAACTAGTTGTTCATTGTCCATCGATTCCGTTCTGTAGGTTGGTGGAGTGCGTCGCTGACAGGTATTTTCAGTTCCTCCGCTATTTGGTCCGACCATCGTTTGGGACCTCTACCCCTGGGCCTTTTTCTCTCGATTTTACCGGTCACCACAAGGCGTTCTAAATTGTATAAGTAATTACACGGATTTTAATTAATTCCAATTTGATTTTTGACACGATGGTACCTATCCCTTCTTCGTCGAAGTCATTCGTGAACATATTTTAACTAAGTATTTCATTATTACTCATTTAAAGATAATTATTCTATAGCCACGTATTTGAATAATGCACGGAACTTAACGAATGCTGCCGTTCGTGTTTAATCAATAGCTTTAACAGTTCTAAGGATTGGTCCTCAAGCAATGACAGCGATTGAAAATCTTACGCCATTTAATTAATATACCTATCCATATAAACGTTGCTAAGGTTACAAATAAACGATTCGGTGAGTGAATGAGAATTAATTTAATTTAATTAATAATAGGTCACAGAGACTTTCCAATAAAATGTTGATGAATTTTAAATCAGACATATGAGAGAATTGGGAAACCCGAGTATCTATTGTTTAAAAAAATATAACTTTTACAGTCGTCAATATCGTTGTTACCATACACGTACTAAATATTAAAATCTGGTCACAGATAATACAAACCGTCTTCTTCTTGGAGGTATGTAATAGCCAGGAACTTGGCTCGTGCATCTTATTTTTTTTGAAACGGTAAACAAATCACGCTCGGTCATTCGGCCCCAAATTAGAATACCCTATATTATGGGTACCAGAGATTGACATACATACGTATATACGTTTAAATATATACATATTTGGATAATAAACAGCCAGACAAAGTGCAAGAAAACCTGTTCATCACACGAATGTTTGCTCGATGTGGGAATCGAACCCACAACCCTCGACGCAACCGTCAGAAGCGCTAACTACCGCACCACCGAGTCAGTCAAATTGAAGTATACGATCGACTTTTTTATTATATGTTTAACCCAACCATAATTTTAGCCGTCATCTGCCATCGGAGCAAGGTTTATCTGTTATACCTGGAACTGCTTCTCTCATCCTAAAGCTTAGAATATTTTTGTCACGTTCCATGCGACTCTAGAATGAACTCACTCACTCTTTCTTGTGTACGTCCTTGTTCAAGCAAATGGTTTGAAAGAAGTCCCGAACGACCAGCAGCGATATGGTAGATAGCGATAAAATGACGTGTGAACTCATCGTTAATCCGCTGTTTTGTACCTTAATGCTACGAAAACATGTTCTTGCTTAGATGGGTGGACGATCTCACAGTCCACCTGGTGTTAAGTGGTTACTGGAGCCCATAGACATCCACAACGTAAATGCGACAACCACCTTGAGATATAAGTTCTAAGATCTCAAGTATAGTTACAACGGCTGACCCACCCTTCAAACCGAAACGCATTACTGCTTCACGGCAGAAATAGGCAGGGCGGTGGTACCCACCCGCGCGGACTCACAAGAGGTCCTACCACCAGTAACAATGAAAAAATGAATGTACAATGAAATTGAATTTTGAAATTGCTAGATGTTTTTCTAAATTTTCACAAAAATAAACAGATTCATCATTAACGCTCAACACATGCATTCACTGCCATTATATATTTTTTTAGTAGAACGTAAACATGAAAAACGCTTTCCGTTGCGTATTGTTCACGTCATTTCAACGACGTTCGGTGATTTATATTAGTGTTGCTCTCACACGAGTCACCTCGATCTTTAAAAATGTCACTTTTCTCTTCATCAGGGTATAAAGGCTCGTTGCCCCGACTACCTCCAAGTACTCAATCACTTTATTTATCTACAGTGGTAATATCCGCTTCTTTTTTTTTTATTGCTTAGATGGGTGCACGAGCTCACAGCCCACCTGGTGTTAAGTGGTTACTGGAGCCCATAGACATCTACGAAGTAAATGCGCCACCCACCTTGAGATATAAGTTCTAAGGTCTCAAGTATAGTTACAACGGCTGCCCCACCCTTCAAACCGAAACGCATTACTGCTTCACGGCAGAAATAGGCAAGGTGGTGGTACCCACCCGCGCGGACTCACAAGAGCTCCTACCACCAGTATAAATATACATAGTTCTTAATGCATCTCATCATTGTAGCATGAATGGTCGTTGTAAAAAGTTCTGAGCGTGTTGACGTAGTTGTGATACTAAATATAATAACTAATGCTTATGAAGCAAAGTGCGTTTAAAAATAAATCTCTAGAATAATTACGACGATGACTCGCGATCAACGGAATTTCGCACGAGACTCCGTTCTCGACAATAACGTAGCTCACATTAAAGCTTCTACTAGCACACATTAACGGCCGTCTGGTGTAGTGGTAAGTGACATGGTCACTACACAAGGGGGTCGCGGGTTCGAATCCCGCCAAGGGAAGATATTTGTGTGATAAATATAAATGTCTTTTCAGTGTTATGGATGTATATTAAATATATGTATGTGTATAATAAAAATCTTACATTTATTTCCGATATATGGTACCTGTAACACAAGTTCTTTACGAACTTATCACGGGACCAGTTAACGTGGCGTGATTGTTAATAAATATTTATTTATTTATTTATTACTATATAACTTCAAATGAAACAAATCAACATTTTATCTGATTATTGGAATGGAAGAAGGAAAGTATCGCGTATTTTATTATACCTGCATATAATATACTATTACTAAAAGTGTATTATAAGAGATTGCTGTACATGTCCGTAACTGGCTTATATACCAGTACCTAATTTTATACTTGTTAATTTTAAGCTTGAATGTTTTATGTGTATTGCTGTTGGTGTGTCTAAATAAATAAATAAACTATTACCAAAATATGATCTTAAAATACAGCACTCCATTTTAAATAATTTATATGAGAAAATGGACGTAAGTAGGTCTTCCAAATTATTTTTGTGATTTATTTCTCCTATAGCATTTTGTACTGCTTCTCTGGTATTGATTTTTTTCCTATCAGGAAGCTGTCCAACCGTTGGAAACAGTAGAAGTCTGTCGGCGCAAGGTCTATTGAGTACGGTGGATGACGCAAAACTTCCAACCTTAAACTCTTGTAGCTTGGAGACCGTCTGTTGTGGCGTATGAGGTTGGACCTTGGTCATGTAGTGAGGACGACCGATTAAATATGGCTGGCCCGAGATTCGGGATTGTCTCTATCTTGTATCAGTTTATCACAATACACATCCGCAGTAATGTTGGTGCCATTTGATAAGAAGCTATAATGAATAGATAGATCATTAGACGACTTGGTATTGCCGAGTTGCTGACCAGATTCTAACCAACAGGATGACCGCTTACGAAAAGAATCCATTTTTTATTGCCCTTATAGGCAGACGAGCATACGGCCCACCTGATGGTGAGTGGCTACCGTCGCCCATGGAATTCAGCAATGCCAGGGGCAGAGCCAAGCCCCTGCCTACAGCAAGCGCTTTTAATCGCAAGCGACAATGCAGTTCAAAACTGCTTCGTTTCTATGTCTTCTAAGCCCGCAGGACAAACCTTGATATTATGTTGAAAGCACTGATTATCACTCCAGTTCCATTATTGCCAGTTTGACGCAAATGAACTACTATTGATGTTAACGTTTAAATCTACTTAACTCAGTATCGTTAGCTTTCCACAATTGCCTTTGATTCGTGGTTGTAAACTTTAGTTTTCGGGTGACTATTTGGTTAATTTTTTGATCCAAATTTCTGATCTGAGGCCTTCAAACTAATAATGATTGTAGTGTTCACTTCGCATCTGTCAGTAATATTGTTAGTTGTTCGTGCGATTTTGCTACCGCAACGGAACTGCTGCTTCATAATTACTCGTATTTTTAACGTGTCCATATTGATGATAATGATTTAAATGCAGTGAAAACGAAACACTAATCAATAAACAAACGACTGAATTTGAAATAGACTTCCATTTTTTTTAAATAAAACTCATTTGCATTTATTGCCAGCCATACATAAAAAGCGTTTCAAATTGCCAGTATTAGTAAAACGGCAACTTCATAGGTAAAAACATTTTTTTTTATTTATTGCTTGGATGGGTGAACGAGCTCACAGCCCACCTGGTGTTAAGTGGTTACTGAAGCCCATAGACATCTACAACGTAAATGCGCCATCCATCTTGAGATATAAGTTCTGAGGTCTCAGTATAATTACAACGGCTGCCCCACCCTTCAAACCGAAACGTATTACTGCTTCACGGTAGAAATGGGCAGGGTGGTGGTACTTACGCGTGCGGACTCACAAGAGGTCCTACCACCAGTAAAAATCTATAATATAAATAATACATTAATAATATAAAATTGTAATACACAGCTGTATCCTAAACTAATTCGGTACTAGAATTGCTATAATATATCAAACGGCGAATGTTTTTAACAGTACGAATCTAAGATTAGCAATTTCAGCGGCATGTGACTTGCCTCAAATACATATTTGTTAGAATGAATGGTCGATCTATTCGGGCCAACTCCTCCAGCTGCTATTCATGAAGATTTGCCGTTCGATTATAACAACGTCATTTATAACAAAAAATCTCACGATAATTATTACAAATACTTTAATTTAATTACTCATTTAATATATTCTTATAATACAAGCCTTTTTTGAGATATACAAATATAGTTGTTTCTTTTTTATTTATTTAATGAATATATAATGTTTTTAGTATCCTTGACAATAACCTTAGCTTTTTAAGCTTTTTCATTTACACTCATTTTCGAAAATAAACAATTTCTTAAATTTCTTATCTCGTTTCTTTCCCCAGAACCCAGTATGCCGATTGGGAACGTCAGCAAAGAGACGGCACCCAGACGGGACAGCTTCAGGCCCCCCTGGGTTAAGGAAAAAGACACAGAGAGTCCACCAGCATGGACTCAGAGGAAGCTGAAGCCTGTGGACAGCTTCGGCAAGACAGCGACCGCGGAGAGCACTGATGCGGCACCAATTACGAAACCTTTAAAACGTATGTATTTTTGGCTGAATGAATAGTCCACCATGCGGGATCAGTATGATGACATTGTCTGTGTGTACCTTGAAGCGGTCCTTTGTTCGATTTCAAAGGATGTAACAACCGTAATTTCAATACAGTGGACATTTCAACCTCATTTCTCAAGGTGGGCCGCAGAATCCATTGCGTTTATTGTTTTCGGAAATCACTACAAGGGTGTCTATATATCGTCTATATCGTCTATATACATACATGGACCCGATGAGAATAACTTCAGACTGAGAGCGCTAGTAGGCGAGCACCTTATATTTGTCATTTTAAAAGCAGTTGGGTGAAAATTAGATAGGATTTGGTGTGTACTGGAACAAGCATTGCACTCGAAAATAGGCGTATACCCAGCAGTAGGCAACTACGGGCTGAAAATGTTCAAGGATACACCTATCGCGGAAATAATTTTAATACGAACACATGAGACCATATTATTCTGTATTGATTAATGGGGATATCACGCTTCACACAGGACCCCGTGTTTGCTTCGCGACAGAAACTACAGAATAATAATTAAAACAATCCAATTTGTGCCGCAAAATAATGTTGTTCCGGTTTGATAAGTAGGTACGACAGATGTGTATTTGAATATTGAAAACTTGCAACTGTTCCTGAAGTTCGCATATAATCGACCAGACTGTACTAATTTTTGTATTGGTAATGAGCCGAACCACCTTATTATTTCAATTTTTATTTCTACATCTAATAATTTAGATGTTTTTTACGCACTGAAAATGCGATTATTATAATTTATAAACGCATAAAAAATTGGCGGCTTTCATCTAGTCACATCCGTCATGTAACGAAATGTAGAGTTAGCAGTGTAAATAAGAATATCATTTAATTTTTAATTTAGCAAATGTAAACAGTACCTATACTTCTTCGAAAAATTTATTTTTGTAAAAGGTATGGAACACAAATTACTATATTTTCTAATAATAATTAAACTACAATATTTGATAAAATGGGGCTTCTTAGATTACAGTAATTTTGCAAATAAACTAATTGTACCTATATAATTGAACCCAATTAAACAATCGTTGTTTCTTAGATGAAAATAAATGTTTCACGAAAGGGAGACTACGTGAAAAAAACTCTTTTAGTGATGATGTGTAGTAAGTATCTCGAAAATGTATGCTCACAATTAACATGTAGAGCGATTGCATTTTATATACTTGTTATGAAAAGAAATACATTTTTGTTTTTACGGAACAAGAAAAATCGGTCTTTTTTTGTTGACGCTACTGTAACGGAGGGCAATAATTCAAATTACGTTATTTGTAACAGTGTATTTGTGGGTATTCGTGTTGATATACATATGTGTACACAAATGACGTCAGCAGCCTGCCAGAAAGTTTGGCAGGAGACACGGCCTCTGAATAATTGACTCCGAAAACGTTCAGAAGTTTGTTAGTCTGGAGTGTGGAACCGAATGACGTTGGCGTGCCCACTTACGGGAACTAAAGTGTAACGTTTTGAGGCCAGTTCCTTTGAAAATTTTTCTAACGCAGTGCGTGTAGTTCTTGAGCTGGAAGAGTTTGTTGTGTTTCACAGATATACCGGATAACCCTCACTGTAAGTTCGGTCTTATCTAGGTTTGTACGCATACCTATAATTTATAAGCTCAAGGCATTTGCCAAATATTTCTGCCCTGACGTCTTAGTGGATTTGATTTTCAAACACTTTGNAGGCCAGTTCCTTTGAAAATTTTTCTAACGCAGTGCGTGTAGTTCTTGAGCTGGAAGAGTTTGTTGTGTTTCACAGATATACCGGATAACCCTCACTGTAAGTTCGGTCTTATCTAGGTTTGTACGCATACCTATAATTTATAAGCTCAAGGCATTTGCCAAATATTTCTGCCCTGACGTCTTAGTGGATTTGATTTTCGAACACTTTGTTTTTTTTTTTTTAAATATAATTAAATTTATCATCAACGATTAAGATAGAAAGAAAAGCAGCGAAATGAATTTATTAGGTACAATTCGCTATTTAGTGACGTATCGCAACGTCGAAGTTGTTAAGAAGATATTTCGAGCACGACGCCAACCATCCGGGATATTTTTAGAGAGGACAGACTTTTTACAAAATAAACGCAGTTGTTGGGGTTAGCTTCAGATTCACATGATACACAACGATACTGTCCGAAAATAGCTTTAAAATAACGCAAATGACCCGAAAAAAGGGTGAAGAGTATATCACACATTTCACATGTACTTATCAAGTACTAATTTTACAAGTGTTATTGCAGTATCTTCTGAAATAAAAATGAAACACAAATTCCTTTATGACGCTGCAAAAACGCTAAGTCGTCGTGGTCCTAAAGAGATGCATGCACTAATTAATATCTACGGGGAAATGTCGGTACTGAAGTCCAGCATTCGGATACCATTTTTTTAAAGGAAATACGTAATTGGCACCTCTTCGCGAATAACTTCTACAGGAACGAAAGGAATAACATAGTATATTAGAAAACAAACCAATAATAATAATTGATGGTAGGGCGAATTATGAACCGGCACGAATAGGCACTATCATCTTACCTACTTCTCTCGCGAAGCAGTTAAATGTTCGGTTTTGAAGGATGAGGCAGTTACGAAATAAAATTTCAGCGATTCCAAGATTGATGATGGCATTCATATTATGCAACTTATAGACTTCAAAATTTATCAAAAATTTATAGGGAAGCTGCTTTTTGTAGCTTTGCAAAACTTTTCCTCTTTTTGTCGATTTTATACACAATCTTGGCGTTTAAATAGGGAATTTGACAAATAATATCGCTAGAATAGCGAAGGCCGGCAATCTTGGCAGCAGCCATGTTTATTTACGTACGAATGCCATCATTGCACCGTGTCGGGGCTGAAACACGTGTTCCGATCAATTCTACAATTCTTTGTCGTGGATTGAGAAAAATATCCTTTCTTTATTTATTTAGATCAACTTTGATTGGTACACAAGTTCAGTATCCAACTGGTGATAAACATGTACCCGAACCCGTGTAAGCCACAATTCGGTAGCCACCGCTCATTGAAATGTGAAAGACCTATATCTTGGGATTGTCCATTTTCACAATAATTATCCTCAAAACTGATTGAAGATGACTTAGGATCAAATTTAAGTAGTGAATTCAAATTAAAATACTTTAATGAAGAGGGGTTGTTTTATCTTCTTTCTACGGGAAGTAGAAGTTTTTGCTCGAGTAGTCGTGTTCGATTAACACTTCTTTTGATCAATAATCGAACGAAAATCGAAAGTCACGAAAACAAAGATCGTACAATCTACGATCGTCTTGACTACTACTGCATGATATTTTGTTATAGATTATTATTATTATAAAAAAGTGACAGAGTAGTCATAGACAGACGTCTTTGAAAATCTCGTCATAACCTGCTTTACATCTTTAATAGCTTATTTTTTCTGTACCATACAATACTTTGAAATCTGTAGCGCAGAACGTGGTAATCTATATAAAAGAAAAAATGATCAATATCGTTCAAAATATCTGCTCCTGAAGTAGATAATTTTACGAGATAAATTTATAGAAACTGCGTGCAAAGCTACGGTTAATATTTTAAAATTTAATTAATCCAAGTTCTTTTTTCAGCGGTACTTAAAAAGCAGGTAACAATAAGAGAAAAATCAGAAAACGGTTCGTCTGAAACGGTAGAAGAAAAACTAGTTAAGCCTTCAACAGCAAAACAGGCTGATAGAGCAAATAATCCTACAGATGAAAAATCAAGATTTACAAAACCAGCCCTGAAAACTATTGACAAGTCTATCAAATCAGAAGACAAAGTAACCAATGACAAAATTCCGGAAAAATCAACTTTAAAAAGCGTCAGAACTATTGATGACAAAGCAAAAGAAAAATCAGTAACAATTGTTGATAGAAAACCTGATAGAAATGGTACAGATAAAGCAAATAATTCTGTCAATGATAAGATTACAAACGATAAAGGTTCTACTTTGAATAATAATACGAAAACCATCAACAAAGTAGGAGCACCTGAAAAATCAATCTCAAAAACAGTTGCACCGAAATCAAGTCAAACATCTGAAAAGCCTGCACCTAAATCAACTACTGAAAAAAATTCAAAATCACCAGCGGTCGACAAACCTGTTACAAAATCATCTGAAAAACTTACATCGAAAACTACGGCACCTGAAAAACCAGCACCTAAAGAGACATCTCAAAAGACTGCTGCTCCTGAAAAAACTGAAGAAGTATCCAAGATGGCTACTAAACCTCCCCTTGAAAAAACCCCATCCAAGGTAACATAAACCACTGCTTATGAAATTCTTTATAACTAATTACTAACAGGTTTCAATTTCTATGTATGTGGTCATTATTCACACTACATAAAGTCCTGTTGTAATAAGTGGCTGCGATACACGATTTACTAGAGTGAACTGAAATTATTGCATGGCATAGGTTGCGATCCCATCACCTACTCATCAACCAGGTGGTAATAAAGAATCTCATAGAATTTTGGTCATATTGTTCATTGTTTCATATTTCACTTTCAACTGTTTACAGGTTTTGCGCAAACCGCCTCTTCAAAAACAACCTTCAAAAGATGAAATACAAGTAAAAAAATGGAGGGATCCCCTGCTGGAGCGTGTAAAGGAAAACATTGACAAGACTTTAAATAACGAAGTACCCAAGGGCCACACTTTAACTAAAAATGAAAGTTTAAGAAGTGAGTATCAAATAATGACATTTTCTAATCTATTAGCTTTTCAATAACTATATTATTCATTATCTTCGGTTATTTGATACCCTCTCCTAGGTATAAGCCACACCTGTTTTATGCCAGAATACGGTATCCAACGCAACTGGGCCGTCGCCCGAAACATGTCTGGCCGGATCCCCTGGATCCAATCCCGGTGCTTATAGGCTTCTCAAGCACCGGTCAACGCTCTCGTTAAACTATTCGTCGTAATCAACTAGCGAAGTAACCCAAAGACTGAGCCCACTGATTTTCTCGTCGGATTTCTCAGTGGATCGCGATTCCAATCCAGTGGTATATTCTGCAAAGCACTGCTTTTGCTAGGGCCAGCGTTAGCAATTTTTCTCAAATTGAACCGTGAGCTCACGTACCCGTCCGCGCGCAGCTGGAATAGCCCCTTAGGCTACCAGCGAATAGGTATCTTGAAAATATATGTCCGAATTATTATGCGAAAATAGGTCTTTTGCATTCATGTAAGTTAGACTGTAAGTACAGATTGATTTCTAGATGATCTAGATGATTCATATGCCTTATTTGGAGAAAATTATATCATAGCGCTCGAAGAACATGAAGGGAGTTCATTCTAGATGTTTAAAACAGATTTCTAGTAACGCACAATAGGCATTAATAGAAGAAGTTAAATTTATTTTAATAAATGCGAGTAACGCACAATAGAAATTAACAGGAGAGGTTAAATTTATTTAAATGCAACAGTACTTAGAGTTTTAAAGCTAGTTTTTTATGTATTTTTCGATATGCGAATAATGAGACTACATGGCATCATAAAGACAAAAATATCAATACTATAAATAGCTAGAGCAAAGAGTATTTCATGTTTAGTTTATCGTTTGATTTATTTTTATACGTCTACGAATGATAAGTATAATGATACTAGTTCCTTGCTCAAAAGTTGGTGGACCTGATGTGACTTCTAAACATATAAATCGGAATACTAAAAATACAGATATTTATTTCTTATCCGACAGCGACGGGGCAACGCAAAGCCACTGTCGTCCGAAGCACATTTTGTCGGATACCCCAGATTCACTCTCGGTGCTTTTAGGCCTCACAAGCACCGGTCACCGTCCTCGTCCAATTCGTCGATTATGACGAAGAGCTCGACGAGCGACCTAACCCATACACCCACTGAGTTTCTCGCCGGATCTTCTCAGTGGGTCGCGATCCCGATCCGATGGTAGATTCTGCGGAGCACTGCTCTTGCTAGGCCTAGTGTTAGCATTCTCTCAGATTGAGCCCGTGAGCTCACCTACCCGTCCTGGCGTAGCTGGAATAGCCTCTTAGGCTACCAGCGAATAGGTAGGGAAAAATCAATACAAAAAAAACAACCTTAATTTGGTCTATTGAAGGCTCACTAGCTCATTTAAAGATTTATTGAAGTGAATGATAAAGTTTCCGAAGAAGAATCTGTATACAATTAAACAAAGGCAATACTGTCAACCACAATATTCTCGTCTGTTTGGCAACAGATTTTCTTTTTGTGCTACTGTGTTTTCGATATTTTTTTGATAAGAGTCAGTGTTTTTCTTATTTTCAATTTTTTATTATTTCAATTTTGGTAAAACACCAAAGAAGCAAAATACATATAAGGAATTAAAATATTGAAGAATTCGGTAAACGCTAGCTTAAAAAATATCTAATGATTTTGACTATCTGTGCTCACTATCACAAATTGCAATTAGAAATTAGGTGCAGGCACATTTACTGTAATGGGATGCAAGCCGTCCTCAAGTGCATCACCTAACGATCTTTACTCTTTGATCTCTTGTGCGCTAGACTACTTGTGGTCTAAATGCGACCCAAAATAGTATTGGTAGTTCCGCGTGCGTCGCGAGTTCATCAGGTGCGAATGCAAATAGTGGTTCGAATCTTCAGTAAGACTGAACAACAGCTAAGACGCGAACTTAGTTCACTATAAACACCTGAGTTCAATTGATAAATTGAATTTTGCTTAGTTCAGTGGCAATCTCATATTCTCCTACATAAACTTATTTCATTTTTTTATCTTTTTCTTTCATTCATATCGTGCAGTGATTAATAAATAGTACAGTGAATTATGGCTGAAACAGAGGAAGGAGAAATGTATAAAGGTTAGTTATAAAAATAACAAGTCATAGAGTTACTGGTAATTTTATAGATGTGTTTAAGTCACAGGTTTTACTTTGTTTGTTTTAAATTATCATCTATTTTTACGAAAAATCTATTTGGATAGTATTTTATTTAAATAAGTAAAATCAAAAAAGACAGATATGATTTACTACCAGTGAACTAAATGCTATAATTAAATAGACGAATAATGAAAGATGTTTACAAATCCGATCGCCACGACTACTTCGCGGCAGAAATAAGTAGGATTATGTTAACTACTCTTGCGCACTTACGCTACGACCGTGAATTTAACGTGAATTTAATTTCAGAAAAATTGTTATAAAAAACACAGTTTACTGTATATTAATAAATAAATTTACTTGACATACTCTGACTACGCTTAGAAAAATATCTTAAAGTATGTAATAAATAGCATTAAATCAATTAAAAGCGTAATTAAATACCTCAGGTTTGCTAAAACCAACACCACCACCTATGCCACCTCCTTTACCACCAAAGATGCCACCACCTCCGGAGTTCAAGAAAGCACCTGTCGATCCTGCTAAGTTAAAGAGATTGGAGCAGCTCCGAAGCAGGCCAAGGAGGCGGCCTGATTGGAGTGACATGATGAAAGAAGTAGAAGAAGGTAGAAAACTGCGTCACGTTGAATGTAATGACAGGTAATAAATGAGTAAAAATGAATTTTGGAATTGTTGTTGCAGTTGGAATGGTTTTTCATAAATTTAAACATTGAGTTAGATATTATCCCGAGATAAGTAGCACCATACATATTGTTGTAGATGGACAGTAACACCTTGATCTCCCGGTAGGGAGATTCTACAGCTTGTTTGTTCATCTACACTAAGAAAATAGAATAGAACAGAATATAATCTAAGTTAACTAAACTACAATTACGAAGGGAAGCTAAAAATGTGGCTCTCCTAAAAAGTCATAATCACTACTTATTTTCTTGAAGCTTGAACGACATTTGTCTAAAATACGAAATGAATTTAGGGTGCATTCGAATCTTTATTCAGTAAAACTCGACATGATTGCGATAATCGAAATTTGACCAAAAATTCGTGAGTTATCTAAACAAAAATGAAAGAATCAAACTATAAAATACCAACATTCCAATTTTACTGACACATCAATGATTAATATTTACAGATCAAATCCAATAATAACAAGGTCGACCATTGTAAAGAACAAAGGACAATTTATTTTCGAATCTGAAAAACCAAACACGCATAATGAGCTCCTGAAAGAAATCAACAAGGGTATTAAATTGAAGAAAGTAAAAACCAATGATAGGAGTAAACCTAATTTGGAAGGCTTGAGGAAATTCAGAAGACAGATGACTATAGAAGAGCAAGTGCAGAAGTCTATGTCGCAAGCCAATCTCGCGGCGTCGCCTTCGGGAGTACTTGTTCCAGAGGTGTGCAGTTTAAGTTCCACTATTACATAAAAAAATAAAATATAATATATTCTTATCTAAATGTATAATTATATTCAGGGAGCCGCACCTCAAGAAGAAGAAGAAATTGATGAAATGGACGACATTGACAAAGTCAGAGATGACTTACAATCCACAAAACAGCTGTTGGCTATGGAACTAAGGTATTATTATCAGTTCTTTAACGTTAGTTTGTAACGGTTTATCTTTAAAAATTCAGAATGGAATCTTTTTCTCGTGACTCAAAACTATAAATCTTTAATAAAACATGAAACGTCTTTAAATTATAGAACAAAAGAAGCACAGGAAAGGGAAATTAAGCGATTACAAACTAGAATACAAAACTTAGAAGCCGAGGTAGCTAGGGAACGCGCTATTATTAAACAAGAACAGCAGAAAACAGTAATATCAGTGACAGATGCCTACGATGAAAGATTAGTTAAAAATCTTAAAGAAGAAGTAGAAAAAGCCAAAGAAAGTGCTGATAACTTAGAAAAGAAATATTTAGAAGCAGCAGAAGAAAGAGATACTGCTATAACAGAGGCAGAAGAACTAAAGAGAAGAAACGCCGAATTAGAAAAGAAATTAGAACAAGCAATGGCCGTAAGCATTGTATAGTTATAAATTTCACTATTAATCTAAAATAGAACGCATTAATTATCCAACAATAATGCCGTCAGAGAACTCATTTTTACGCCATTAACAATTAAGCTTTGCTAACGTTTCAGGGTAATCTTGAAGACTTGTACACATCAGAAGAGCCCATGTCGTACTATCAAAAACGACAGCTAGACTTTGAGAAAGAGTGTAGGTTATTAAATATTGATACTAATTCGCCTGAAGCACAAGAGCTAAGAAAAAAATCTGCTGACGCTAACAACAATACAACTAATGCTGCTTTTACTAACAATTTCGAAGATCAGGTATGAACAGAGGGTATGCGTTTTGGGAAATAAACTGAAATAACTCTTTCCTTGACAGTGTTTTTGCAATAAATGCTTCCTTCAAAAGCCATAGAAAAATATCTATGCTTTTTAATTAATTAGCATTTTGATTTTTATTACAATTTACACAAGCGAGGTTTGGGACCATTTAGATCAAGCAATGCGAACATATCGTCTTATTTTTTTTTCTAAAGAAATATGCTACAGATACGCGATCATGAACAACTTTTACGATGAACATATAATAAAAACATACACATAAACGGANCTTCAAAAGCCATAGAAAAATATCTATGCTTTTTAATTAATTAGCATTTTGATTTTTATTACAATTTACACAAGCGAGGTTTGGGACCATTTAGATCAAGCAATGCGAACATATCGTCTTATTTTTTTTTCTAAAGAAATATGCTACAGATACGCGATCATGAACAACTTTTACGATGAACATATAATAAAAACATACACATAAACGGATTTATCCTAAAATAAAAACAAAACTGCAAAAAAGTCAAATTTACGGGATAGGTCACTACTATTATATAATCTACTGGCGGTAGGGCGTATGACGAAAATGAAATGAAGGGATCATCTCTAAGCTTTTTAAAGCACTTCACTTGTAGAAAATACAGTAAATATCAAAGTCTACTCGTAGGCCCATAGATTCACTAAGCGTTATTGATATAAAAGGAGATGTAGTAGAAATATTTCTACATGAATCTATACTTACTTGTAATTTATATACATACATAATGTACTGATTGAACTACAGATATCTAAAACTATTAAATTCACACATGCTTCAAGTGTTCCGTTGCTCCATGCAGAAAAAGAAAAAGGGTTTACCAGGTTACCAATTTAAAACGGGTTTCGCACATTTTCAGGGTATTATGCCAACAGGTGTGGGTTCGAGACGTTCGAGTCACGCTATCAAACAACTATCGGTTACAAAAGATGACAGTTTTGAAGAAGAATCAGAATCTGAACCGGAGGAGGTAAATTTTCATAAGAATTAACATACATTATAGCATAGCGTAGACGTTATAAAGTTAATTCGATTTTACTAAACTTTTATTTGATTTGATTTTTTCCAGGAGGAAAGTGAAGAAAAGAAACAAAAGAGGCTTGAAAAGGAAGTGAAAAATATGAAAAATAAAATCAAACATTTAAAAGAGAAACAGGACCATATGAAAAAAGAACGTATGGGCTTCAAAATGGCTCTTAAAAATCAACAGGCTGCACTGAAGTGAGTTACTTTGTATTATTTTTTGTGAATGTAATGAATCATTGTATGGCATTACCTTGAAAATATAAATAAACAACTTGTAACTAACTAGAAGCGAGTGATCTCGCTAACTAGTTACATAAAAATCTAAAATTCATCTGTTCCCATCAATACCAATAATTCAACTTAATCTACGATATTAAAAATATTTACACTGATAAATACATACGTTTTCACCCTTTTAGGGAAGAAAAACGTAAATACAAAGAATTGAAGCGTGAAGTTGATAAGATGGCGGCTATGATGAAAGAAGTTGGTTCGGACGAAGAAGAAGAGGAAGAAGAGGAGGAAGAATCCGAAGAAGAAAAGAAGACCGAGTCAGAGGAAGAAGAATCGGAGACTGAAACAGAACAAGACACTGAAAGCGAGACTGAGAGCGAAAGTGAACCAGAAGTAAGATTTTGGATTTATTACAAACGCAACGAAAGGTTTTGTAATTATGTTTGACTACTTGGATATTAATATTTTACTATTCGTATTATTTTCAGGATGCTCCACTCCCGAACAAAAAAGATAATCTGACAAAGCGAATGAAACGACACGAGACAAGAGTACACGCTTTGAAAAAAGGAAATGCTTTGCTCATGGCCAATGTAGATCGGCTCAAAGACGATGTTTTAAAGCAAAGAGAAGAATCTGTGTCGTTACAAAAGGAGCTTGACTCTTTAATTGATGATCTTGAGTAATAACATTAGTGGAATAACGTAATACCTAAAATAATACTAGCTTACTACTTATTAAGTATTAATAATTACAGATGTTATAATACTACCGATAATGCCTAGCTTTCTAATAACGTTATTGCAAAGTTATTATTTGTTTTGAGCCACCGTTGCAATAATGTTTTCATGTGTGAATTACTCTATAAGCATTATGACTTTAAATTATAGTAATATAGTAATTATAAGATGTTGATCGAATATGAACTACATATTTAAAACTTCTTTTTCTGAAACGTTATATGATTTCAAATTATATTAATCAACTGAGTTGTACTTACTGAAAATTTAACATATCAGAATGAGATTTAAATATTTTTATACAATTTATTTTGTGATAATATGTTTTCATGAAAAAAAGTTACTTCAAAGGATGTGCATTATTACTTTCTAGCAGTTAGAATAGAAACAAACGAATTGCCTTTAATTTAGAAATGCAAATGCATAACAGAAAATTAAGACATTGTAAGTAAGTGCTTATTTCAATATTTTTTTAAACGGGCTCTAAGTACAACCTAGAAGCAGTGTGTCAAAAGTTCGTTTTTCGTCGCAAAGGAGTATTTCGTCGCTATACGCTAACGTGACAATTTGTACATTTCAACTCCTATTAAAAATCATGATATGGAACTTTTCCAAAAAGATTCGAGCTATTTATTACAAAGTCGAATTTTATTTTCTGTACTACCTAGTGTTATTAATAGTTTATAATAAATATTAATTAAAAGAAATTTACAAAATCATTCGATAACCTAACTGCTTTTTTTGTATGCCACTAAATTTAAATATTTGCATCATTCATTTTATAGGATTTGTAAATATTAATTTAATATTAATACAGACTTCCTAAACTTATGTATACAAAAAAAATCAATAAATTCTTAAATTGCATACTGTGAGACCGTTTTCTTTATCATTTGACTTTTTACTAATGTAGATAATATGTAAGGTTTTGTACTATATAATTACTGAAACACGTAGACACGTGAATCTTGAAATTTAAAAGAATAAGTATTTTCACTATATTATAATATTGGTTGTACTGTTTTTCAAAACCAGAGCATGACTTTTTTTATTTATTACTTAGATGAGTGGACGAGCTCACAGTCCACCTGTTGTTAAGTCGTTACTGGAGTTCATAGATCTACAACGTACGCCACCCCACCTTGAGATATGAATTCTAAGGTATCAGTATATTTACAACGGCTGCCTCACCCTTCAAACCGAAACGCATTACTGCTTTACGGCAGAAATAGGCGGGGTAGTGATACCTACAAGTGCGGACTCGCAAGAGGTCCTACTACCAGTAATTACGCAAATTATAATTTTGATTTGATTTTTATTACATGATGTTATTCCTTAACCGTGGAAGTCAATCGTGAACATTAATGTATTAATACGTATTTCATTAGAAAAATTGGTACCCGCCTGTGGTATTCGAACACCGTTGCATCACTAGATACGAATGCACCGAACGTCTTATCCTTTAGGCAGCGACGTCTTCAAAAGTTACATGTTAAATGGCAAAGTAAACAAGCTGCGGATTTTTCGCACACCTTACTACCAATTCTTGTTATATAATTTTCATTGAGGTCCATGTAAACATTGAAAATATTTCAGGATTTTACCAAGGCATATTTATTTCATTTCTCCTCATTTCGCCATGCCTTTTTTTTAAATTGCTTAGCTGAGTAGACGATCTCCTGGCCCACCTGGTGTTAAGTGATTACCGAAGCCCATAGACAACAACACCGTCAATGCCGCTGCCCATCTTGAGACAAATTCTAATTCTCACGTTTTTATAGTCCAACGGCTGCCCCACACTTCAAACCGAAAGGCGTTATTGCTACTATACTGGACCTTTAGACCACGACGACGTCAATTTCATTTCATGTAATCCCATAATAAATTTCAGATAAAATAACTTAATTGCACTCGCTCCGTTTTACTTGAAACGGTGTCATCACAGATTAAAATATATTGTTGCAAAACCCGAGTCGCGCTAATTACAATTTGAAGATAGTCTTATGCAAACACCGAAAAACATCTTTCAGATCGTCAGTGTACCGAGCAATGACGCCCCTATGTGGAGGTATTTTCCATTCGGTGTTTTATTTCCTAAATACTTTTTAAAAACCGATATGGATTTGATTTCTGAAACCAACAAAGATGCGGCTGTATGATAAAATCCTTTCGCCTCTTCTAACAAAAAGCTGCTCCTTTGACTTTGACACTCAAATTTGATTACTCAAATTTAAATCACAAAACAACAACGGTCGCCTATAAGCCTGGCAAAATATCAAATATTTTGTCGTTGGTTGTTTTTATATCTAGTTTTTTTGATAAGTACGTCATTTTATAATAAAATATAAATGCAGTGCTAGGATTTCGTGTATTGAGTATCATAAATAAAAATGGCTCCGACGGATGCTGAGATACCGACCACTGTACTGTCTTCTAGACCAAACCCGCGAAACAATCCGATAATGTTCAAAATATTTCAAAACGTCCAATTTAATGTTGTACAACACAAGAAATATGTTAAAGAAATGAGTAAACTATATAGAAAGGTAAACTGGCTGCTAGTCTTTAATTAGTGAATAATGTTTTTGTTTTATTCGTCTTCTGTTCTCACTGTTCATAAACACCGGCACAAAATATTTATTTTGTCATTTTCAACTATAACCGTATTAATTACTATTATTATTATTATTAATACAAGGTATTTAAGCATTTGTTCAGTTGTTATAATTTTTCTGTATGCACCTGTTTTGAATTGCAATCCAAATTGCTATATTAAATATTTAAACTTATAATTTATATGGTTGTTATTTGTTTTGTGCATCAATAAAGGAAATTATAAAATTTATAAAATAAAAGTGGTCATATGAGTGGAGTGGAATTTGTGAAAGTATCAACTGGGATCAATATTGCTCTCAAAATTCTTTTTGACTAATCCATCAAGATCAGGTGTCAATGTAATTGCGGCCTGCTAATGGATGAAATATATAAATTCTAGCAAAGGCTAAGTTTTTAAAGTATCACAGTATTATGAAGCAAATATTTTATTGGGTGGAGAATTTTGAATGAAAAAACAACATAAAAGAATAGACATTTAATTTTACTGGTGAGATGAAAATTGTATGCCTGCAACATTCAGATTCTGATGTCTATCAGCTCTGAAAACCATTTGACACAAAGTGGCTGGTCAGCTCGTTCAAATTAAGTACTATTATGTTCTCGATTTATTTCATTGCAATCTATTTATACTGATTATTTCTAACATTCTTAAAATATACATTACAAGTTGTAAGTTTATTAAAACATTTACAGTTAGATGAAGAATCATTCCGTGAAAGTTTCAAAAATGCCCTTATGTATCTGTTTACTTTTGGAGATACAAGTGCTAATGTTGATCGTGTAATACAGTTTGTGGCTACATTTTGTACTTCTCTAAATGATGAAGAAGAATTCTTGCTGTTTATCTTTGAAGTAATATTTGATGTAAGTATGATATTTACTTTATTTGCTCAATATAAAGATAGAGTCTAGAACTTTGTTTTAGTACTTTTTAAAATATTTTAATCACATAATGACAGAGTGAAATAGTGTGTATCATTCAGCTGTTGTTTTTAAAAATAGTTCAAGAAGTATTATCTACTATGCACTTATTTTTGGTTCAGTTCATGGGGTGGGGGTTGGTAGTTCTTGAAGGCAATACAATTTACCATATTCAAATTACCATACCTGGTCTCATCTAGAAGCTTCTCATCTGAAATCAGGAAGCTAATGATTCTATAACAATTTGTATAACAAAAAAAAGAACAACAATCTAAATCGGCTCAAGTTTCTTTCATAATCTTTTATTCCTGTAATTTCAGTGTCAATGTGTTTCTGGACAATCTGTCAGGTATAGAGCCAGTCAGTTGCTGGCAGCCGTATTAGCTGCTCTTGGTGAAGATGCTTCTCTTGATGATGATTTGTGTGATAAGCTTCTTGCATCACAGGTGAGTCTTCTCTTGTGCCTGCATTGTATCTCCATTATGGAAAGCTACCTGATAACTAGAATCATATTTATTCATTGATTTTGATTTCCACGTGATCCAATTGAAAGTGAAACTGAAAAGCTAAAAAGAAAAAACTAAAGCTGAAAAGAAAAGAAAATTTATATTATTTATTTAAATTTATTATTGCTTAAATGGATGAACAAAGTAAAGTCCATATAGAATATTATGAAACTTCCAGAGCCCATAGAGATCAACCACTTAGCAAAATGCAATTAAAATTTTCAATCATATTGTGTAATGGCTGTCAAAGCTTTGCTCTTGAGTCGAAGATGCTTCATGGTAAATGTGGGTAGAATGGTGGTGCCTACCTGTGTGGGCACACAATTTGTCCATTGGTGAATATGAATCCGTACAAGGAATGCCAATTTAAAACTTTTTTTTAACTCTATGTAATATATATTTTTACAACTTTATCTTGCGTTTAGATTAACACATTTATCTATAAATACCAGTAGCTAATGGGTTAAAGTAAACTCTGAAATTTCTCATTTTGATCAGATGCAAAGGCTTCAAGACACTCGTGGGGCAGTACGTTGCCGCGCTGCTTTAGCTCTTCAACGCCTACAAAACCCAATGGAGCCCGACGATGAAGTCACCAGAGCCTACCGTTTTCACATGAGCTGTGACCCTAGCTCTTCAGTAAGAAGGTTGGTTGACAAATTTAAAATTAAAAGTAATATAATTAGTATTGGTAGTTAGTATACTTAATGACAAATAAAACTATTGAATTATGTATGCATGCATACACACACAACATACCACTACATAGTATAAAACAAAGTCGCTTTCTCTGTCCCTATGTATGCTTAAATCTTTAAAACTACGCAACGGATTTTGATGTGTTTTTTTTAATAGATAGAGTAATTGAAGAGGAAGGTTTGTATGTATAATAACATCCATTAAATAGTGGAGAAATCAATAATAAATTATAATTTCCGAAGCGAAGCGAGGGCGGGTCGCTAGTTATTTATATATTAGTATTAATATACTTGGTAGTTAATATACTTGGTGACAAATAAAACTATTGAACTATGCATGCATGAATACATACACACACAACATAATATTATTTATATAATTATTTCTTTTCTTTTTTTATTGCTTTCGATAGGCAGACGAGCTTACGGCTCATCTGATGGGAAACGATAACCGTCGCCCATAGACATCCAAACTACATCAGTGACTCAGATGCGCTGCCTATCCTGGCCTGGATGGGCAGCCTTATGTATGTTACACCGGCTATCCTGTTCTTCAGACCGGAACACAGTATTACTGTTTTGCGGCAGAAATAGACAGGACGGTGGTACCAACCCGGGCGGGCTTCTACACAGAACCCTACCACCAGTTATTCTTTAATTTATTCTCCAATTTATTCTTTAAATCTTTATGTTGCAGAGCTGTAGTCATGTCAATAGCCAAATGCACTCGAAACGTACCATTTGTGTTAGAACGTCTGTGTGACGTCGATGAGGCCGTACGACGTGCTGCATTCTTGTATATAGCAGCACTAAATGTAACACAGCTTCGCGTTAGACAAAGGGTTTTGACACTAAAGGTAAATAATATAAATACCCGTATTCTTAACAATATCATTGATATACAAGTTAATTTAAGAAGGGATACAGGATGTCACATTATAATAGATATTGGTATTTTTCTCAATATTTTTTCCCACATGCCATCCATTTTTTTTACTATTTATTACTGTCGTGAAAGAAAAACACATTCCAGTATGAAGATAAAGATGTCCTGTATATTATTATACTTTACAAGGTCATAGTGCATTTTTGATTTGCTTAGATGGATGAACGAGCTCACGCTCCGCTTATTATTAAATGGTTGTTGGAGTGCATAGACAGGAATGTAAACGCCGCCACCCACCTTGAGATATGTTTTTATAGTTCAACGGCCGCCCAACCCTTCAAACCGAAACAAATTACTTTTATACGGCATTACTGATATACGGCAGAAATAGGCAAGGTGGTGATACCTTCTCCCCAAGATACTGAACTAAATGACCACCACTAAATTTCCCTGCATATCCTTGTTTAACTAAATGAAAAGAATGAATTAAATATTAAACTTTACTACTTTTTATAAGGTCGGACTAACAGAGCGTTCCGTTCGAGTTCGGCGTGTTGTTGAAGAAATATTGATTCCGAGCTGGCTAAGCTCCTTTCAAGGGAACATCATACATCTACTAAAAGCTATACGGTTAGACAATGCCCACGACGCCAAAGACTCCCAATACGTAGCCGGTAAACTTCTGGAGTCTTTGTTTAAGTAAGCACCTTCAGTATTTATCCTATAATTAATCAAATAGCTAAATAAACGCTTTACGCCTTTCATAATAATAATAAATAAAAACAAAATATTTTCAAAAACTTACCGATATTCTTTAACGCACAGGCGCCTTCCTATCTCGGAACTTCTAGAATGGTTACCAACAGAGAAGAATTTACGATTAATACCAGCGGACAAGCTGAACAAGGAAACCGCTTGGTACTGGCGACACCTGACCGAGCACTTGCAGAAAATCGACGACGACGAGACCCTGGAGACCATACTGCCGGACCTCGTTGTGCTCACTGGCTACATAAGAGCGTAATTAAAAATATTTATTATTGAAACTAAATACATGAGCTTTCGAATTAAACTAGAAAATGAGCTACAAATTCACTTGTAGTGTATATATGAGTCTGCATTTAATCTAAAGTCTAAAGCAGTATATTTCAACGGAAGAGCCCTTTGGACAATGACACTGGTGCTTTGATTTCAAAACTGAAGATGGGCGCCGGATATTACATTGTCCTGTGCGATAAAGGATTATTTACTCATACACTGTTCACACTCATAAACTGCTGCGGACACGCGACTCGAGACGCTTCGAAATCTCAATTACACTTCAGTACAAAAAGTTGTATAGTGACACTATTCCCTGTCTACTGTACCAATANTTTGGACAATGACACTGGTGCTTTGATTTCAAAACTGAAGATGGGCGCCGGATATTACATTGTCCTGTGCGATAAAGGATTATTTACTCATACACTGTTCACACTCATAAACTGCTGCGGACACGCGACTCGAGACGCTTCGAAATCTCAATTACACTTCAGTACAAAAAGTTGTATAGTGACACTATTCCCTGTCTACTGTACCAATACAAGGTGGATTAGGGGATGAATTAAATTAGCATATCTGGTCTGGTTTTTACTACAGACCGATCCCCTCCTCCTTGCGTTGATAATCCTCAATGCTGAGGGTCGTGGCCTCATGAGGCTTTCTGGGAAAAATATACACGGTGGGCTCCCGCGTTATTCCATGGCAGTGCTTTTCGAAAAGATTTAGTTTTTCGAGGCCGCTGAAGATTTATGATGTGGGTCCGACTAATTAACCGCCGCCAGAAATTCGTCGTTGACCGTTTTACGGTGGAAAGGTCGAACTCCAACTCAACGCTTCTCTTTTGTCATCCGGGCTTGGGGCCGGCATTAGCAGAGTTACATACCGATCAGATATCAATAAAGAAGCACTTTATTAATTGCAGGTTTGATGCTGTCAGTCTTTTTTTTATGGGATTTTATGACTTGGTAACTAAGACCTTTAAGTCATGTCTTATTTTAATGTATATTCTTATTTTTATGAAAAATGAAAATATGGAGTGAAATGAATAGAAATAAAGATGATTAATTTGAGACATTAATCAACTGGGATGAAATTGAATGAAATGAGATGAAATATAATCTCAGTAAAATGGTGGTCATTTACTGAGATTTTTTCAGTGGACTTTTTGGAGGAACCCGAGAAGTTACGTCCAGCGGCCTTGTTTAATTTTTTCACATTTGTGCACTTTCACAGATATTAAACAGATAATAAACCACCGTTATTACACATTTAAACCTGAAGAAACACTGAATAGACAAAATAAAACAAATCACACAACTTCACTCCTCGCGTTCCCCGATTCTGTCAGTTTTCTAAAAGTACAGATAATGAAATGTTTCAGTATCGTAGAATCACCGTGCCCATCTGAAAGCGAAGACCCCGTGGGGTTCAGCACGCGGCAGTACGTGCTGCACGAGCTGGGCAGCATGCTGCGGGCCTACGACGCGACCGACCCCGCGGGCCGGGCCGCCCTGCAGGCACTCATCACTGACGTTCTCACCGGTGAGACGAGATCGTAAATCTATATTAACTAGAGGTCCCGTAGTAGTCGAAATTCGACTATAATTAATTGGAATTGTAAGTTTGTACACTATTATGATTGTATTTTATACTTCTATAATCACAAATTTCGCCAAGGCTACACTATAAAAAAATATTAACAAAGACAAACAATATTTAATCTCAATTTGAAAACAGACGTCAAGAACAAAAGTTTGACAATAAATACAGGGTGGCCCATAAGTCCTTTGAAAAGTAAAATTTGAATAAAACGAACAGGGCGCGCGTGAGCGGTGCAGGGGAAGCGGGGGGAGTAACTTCGGTTTCTGGGAATTTAGTCGCGATGGAGCGTTTTACCGGAGCGGACCGTGCGTTTTGTGTGCGCGAGTTTTATAAAAACGACAATTCGGCAACCGTTGCGCGGCGTAAATTTCGAGAACACAAAGGTTTACACAACTTTGACGACACTCCAACTCTTCAAACGATTAAGAACTGGGTTGCTAAGTTCGAGGAGACCGGTTCGACGTTAGATAAACCGCGGTTGGGTCGCCCAAGGACGTCACGTACGGAACAAAACATAGACACAGTGACACAGTCTATTCGCGAAAATCCGACACAGTCAACTCGTAAGCGCGCCAGAGCATTAAACGTATCCAGGACATCGTTACAACGGATTTTGAAGAAAGATTTACATATGCACCCTTACAAAATTCAGTTGGTTCAAGAATTAAAGGAAACTGACGGTATTCAAAGACAAAATTATGCGAATGAAATGTTGAATCGGTTTACTTCCTTCAATAACATAATGTTCTCTGACGAGGCTCATTTCCATCTTAACGGGCATGTTAGTAAACAAAATTGCCGCTATTGGAGCCCCATCAATCCAAAACTTAAGCATCAGAAGCCCTTACATAGTCCGAAAGTGACTGTTTGGGCCGCTATGTCAGCCCATGGTATCCTAGGGCCTTACTTCTTTGAGGATGGCAGAGGGCGCGCAGTTACTGTTACGTCGGAGCGATATGTGGCTATGATCGAAGAGTTTTTCATACCAGAATTGCAAAACTTTTCAGGCTTTAATGCCAGGACGTGGTTTCAACAGGATGGGGCCACTTCTCACACCTCTAACACTGCTATGCCCGTTATCCGTCAACTTTTTCCTGGCAAAGTTATCTCTAAGAGAGGAGACATTTCCTGGCCTCCACGTAGTCCAGATCTGACCCCGATGGATTTTTTTTTGTGGGGCTACCTTAAGGCTAAAGTATACGACACAAACCCGCGGTCAATTGAGGCCCTAAAAGAAAACATCCGCAGAGAAATGACAAGCATTTCAGCAGTGACGTGCCGCGCAGTCATCGACAATTTTAGACGTCGTTTGCAAGAGTGCCGTGATCGCAACGGATTACATTTAGGAGATGTTATTTTCAAAAAATAATTCCCGTTTTTTAAGCTTTTTATGTAAATAAAAATTTAATTCATAATGTAATTAGTTTTATTTTAATAAATTTTTTTTCATATCAAAGGACTTATGGGCCACCCTGTAGTATGCATGCGTGTGTTATAATTAAATCAATAAAAAAAACATTACACACACTACCGTGTATTTGACTCACACACGCATGCATACTATTTGTTTATTATCAAACTTTTGTTCTTGACGTCTGTGGTCAAATTGAGAATACATTAAATATTGTTTGTCTTTATTAATATTTTACTATAGTGTAGTCTTGAAATTTGGGATTATAGAAGTAAGTCTTTGAAAATAGAATAATAATAGTGTACAAACTTATAATTTCAATTAATTATAGTCGAATTTCGATTACCGGGCGACCACTAGTGCTTAATAAACTGCCCTTTAATGAGCATGATGAACACCAAGAAAATTCACATTAATAAATCGAGGGGCTTGGGGAACCTTTTTTTTTATTGCTTAGATAGATGGACGAGCTCACAGCCCACCCGGTGTTAAGTGGTTACTGGAGCTCATAAACATCTACAACGTGAATGCGCCACCCACCTTGACATATAAGATCTAAGTATAGTTACAACGGCTGCCCCACCTTTCAAACCGAAACGCATTACTGCTTCACGGCAGAAATAGGCGGGGTGGTGGTAACTACCCGTGCCGCCTCACAAGAGTTCCTACCACTAGTACAATAGAATACAATAAGTACAATACAATACAATAAGTACCTTCGGCGCGTGAATAGTTAGTTGACCTTATACTATGGATGTGCTGTTGTGTAGTCAAGCGTCTTGTATGAGAGAGCTGGAGCTGATGTTATACAATACACTTCGATCTCATATCACACAACTTATTAATAGATTAATAATCTTTCGCCACATGTTATACATAATATGAAGCTAGAACTGGCTACATATCGTTATATAAAGCTTTTTTAAAAGCAAGGTATAAAATATGGATATGTTTTTTCTTGTTCGCTATTTAAAATGTTATTTGAACCTTATTTCTCTATCAGGAATGCTCATGTTGTGATTAATGCCTACTAACTTGACGACTACTTAACAACAAATGGGCCGGTAGTTTGACTGCCCATCTAGAACAATATTAAAAGCTGCGACCCTCGCATCGTGCCATGCTTAGCTTCTACAGCATATTTATTCCAGGTGACTACGGTCCACTGTGTTCGGACGTGATCCGCGCACTAGTGGCAGCTTTAGAACTGGTCGTGCCCGAAGTGTCTCCTCGCATGGAGGTCATCAGCGGCATCATATCCGCCCTGCGAGATCCTCCGGAAGCGGAAGCGCCCCCTATTATACCTCCACCGACCGTTGACACAAACGAAATGAAATTACAGGTACATTAAAAAGGTTAAAAAGTTACACCTGATAAATATTACAAATAATAATAATGAATAGGTAGTATAATCCTTCATGTAAATTTTGGGTCTAGTATAATCCATAATTGAATATGCAATTTCGAAAAGGGCACATGTCGCATATTTTGTCAAATACGTTTTTTCATATACATGTAGTTTTGAGGCTTACCTACACCCATTTTATAATAATTCCAGTAATTTTCAATTGCTAATTAACACTAAAATATATCTCAAAAGTAAATATTTTAAATTTTACACTGCTTTAGAAAATAATCAGTTTTTTTCATTTCCTGAAAATTCTCTGAAAATTTTTTCAGAGATGTGGCCTTTTCGAAATTGCATATTCAATTATTCATTAACCCTTAGAGCGCGAACCGTCGATAGATCGACTCTCTATTAATGCGTATAAAGTGCAGAACGTCGAAATACCGAATATTGGCGCAGTTCGATTATAGGTATTAGGTATCGACCTGTACGGACGTGTCTTAGCGCGCGCATGCATAACGTTTTTAATAAGTTAATAACATTTATAAATAACCATGTAAAATTATTTTGCTGTGAATTTAGTATTGATTTGTTAAGTTAAAATTTTTGCAACGTTTTTTTTTTCCTAAATCTTTTAGCAATTTCTGCTAAATGTTTGAAAATGAGCTCAGCACTAAAAGGATTATTTTTAGTTGTATTGCGTTAGATACGAACCCGCGACTCACTTCACATATGAATTTTAGGAATTAAATAGCATTTAAATAGAATATGTCCTATTTTAGAAACGTACCGCGTCATTGCTGGCAGAGTTGGACAGGGTAGCGGTACCAACCGGGAACTCGCAATAATGTCCGTATATTCTGCCGCAAAGCAGTAATGCATACCAGTTTGAACAGTGGCACTGCCGTTATACCCATACAATAAAGTTGTTACTATTATCTATTTCATAGAATTTCAAAACAAATACTTTACGGATAAGAAACTTCGGCAATTTACCTTCCAAAACTATAATATATTATTATATCAGTAGAATTTCTTATTTCTATGCTGCCGAACATGGGGATGCCAAGGACATGGCCAAACCTTTAAAGCACAAACGTCATCATATTAAAGAAGGGTTTCATTCCTTGATTTAATGGGAAAAGAAAAAAATATTTCTGAGATCGTAAAGAAATCTTGTGCAATTATCCCAAATAATCCTCTCTACTAGTTGGTGTGGTCGATATTTCTCGATGGAACATTTAATACAGTAAGGCTCATTATCATTGGTCGTTAATTCAGTCGTTATACAGCGTGCGGGGAGTACCCGAATACGGGCTATCGACTAATTAAAGTAGGCAATCTATACGATCTTGATCTATATACACCATGTGGGTATTTCCCGCACACGGCGTAACAAATTCATCGGTTGGTGTACGGGTATTCCCTGCACGCCGTCTAACAACCAATGAAATTTATCGGTAGGTGTAAAGCGAGAGTGGTGCGAGGACTCAGTTTACGAATGTGATTCTGATGTTGTACGGGAGTAAGTTATTGAAAAGTAGTAGAAACGTATCGAGATTACCCAATGTTTATGGAATGTAACAAGTGATTTATATAAAAATCGAAATGAATAGCAGCTGCGTATGCTCAGTACAAGTCTTTCAAAACAAATGCGCGGTGAAGAACAATCGGCAAGCGGGCCCTATCGACTAATGAAAACGGCTATCGCATTATCGCATGCTGGCCCTGTGACATATGCTTAAAAGGAAATCTCCCGTACCCCGAATGTGAGTTCTAACGACCAATGAAAATGAGCCTTTAGAGCTCTAATGACCAATGAAAATGAGCCTGTGCTCATTATTAGCATTCTGAATATGATTGCAAGCCTACTGGACTGCATATACGTGAATCGCTGCAGTGCTGTCTAATGCGATGTTACGTACAGCTGATGATGTGACTCAACATGTGTATATTTTTAATTAATTAGTTTTATAAGTTCTAATATAGTTTTTTTTTTTAAGTTATACCAACATCTATGAGTCATATATCTTACAATAAATAAAAAAAGATGTGTGGTGTCGTCGTTATTATAAAAATATTAATTTATGTTCTGTTCGAGGTATACAGAAAATAATTATTCGGGTATACATTTTCTATTTGATTTTTTTATTCATAAAAAAAATCTATTTTGCAAAGTTATCAACTTTATTGTATTCACAATGATTTATAAAAAATATATAATAATAATATACAAAGAAACAGCTATTTATATGAATAATAATAATAACTACTATCATACTAAGTCTATACATAAATAATAAAAATCTTACGTTACGGACGTTTTTTCCCGGTTAGGGTACCCCTCTGCATCGTCCCATAAGGAACTTCGTTCCAGTAAGTTATATTATGTAAAATCAAGTGGTCTAAATATGAGATTCAGATTTTTTTTTTATCAAAATAACATTTTACAGCGAGCAAGACTTCGTGTTTCACTGAACGTGGCCATGGAAGCACAGGAAGAAGCCGTAAAAGATCAGAACTACAGTCTCGCGGCCCAGTGTAAGGCTAAGGTAATTAATTAATTTTCTACATCTTTACTGGTGGTAGGACCTCTTGAGAGTCCGCACGGGTAGGTACTACCACGCTGCCTAGTTCTGCCGTGAAGCAGTAATGCGTTTCGGTTTGAAGGGTAGGGCAGCCGTTGTAACTATACTACTATAACCACTTAACACCAGGTGGGCTGTGAGCTCGTCCACCCATCTAAGCAATAAAAAAATTCCTTTCATTACCTTATTCATAAATTGTAAATAGTTACCCAGACTCGCTTCAGAACCGTTCTCTAGTTTTATTTAACATGTTTTAATTTAGTTTCATTGTTACTCTGGCCTTAGGTAGAAGACATACAAAAGAAACTGGAAGAATTGAACATACAACCAACGCCGCCTCCCCCAGCAGCACCGGTAAGTTAACTAAAAATATCTCACACAAATATGTCGGTCGGCTCGTTAGTGTAAAATTTGTTATAGAACTAGGTGTCCCTCCGCATCATCGCCTATATTATTTCGCAGGGTTCAAACTATTTCCATATCGAATTTTATCGAAATCGGCTCAGTGATTTGGACGTGAAAACGTAACATATAGACAGAACTGTTTTTGTATATTATATTATTATATGTGTATATTATATAATGTTTATTTGCTATGTAACGTCTGACATCTAACAGTGTAAAAGTAAATCCATTTTTTTATCAGTAATATTTTTGACACCTGATTTTAATGAAACACTCAATGTACCACCGCCGTAATTACATAATTGAGAATATTCACTCGTGTCTCGGCAGTGCAACATCGTTGAAGCTGTGAAGTCAACCATTGAAGTTTAGAAAGACCAAGATAAACAGTGTATTTACAGCAATAAAATTAACAACAAATTTTAGGACGATTTAAATATAATAATACAATATTTGTTTAGACGATAAGAGAGAAGCTGTCGGATGCCGCGACTCTGAACAAATGCCTCACGATACTGAACAGCGCCCTCGACACGCCACAACTGCAAACCGTCACACCGATGCTGAGAATGATCTTCAATGAGTTGGAGGTCAGATAACTTTTTGAACGTCACTAATAAAAACTTATTACTTCTAATTAAAAAAAAAAGTCTAATGTCTTAAATTTTCTATAGGTCGAGATCTTTCAAAATCCCGAAATAATCGAAACGGCTTTGGAGACTGTAGCTTTATTCGGTATATTAGACAAGGAATTCGCCAAAGAAAACAAATCATTCTTCTTTGCCAACGTAAGTTATACACACAAATTTGAATATAATATTTGCGTCTTGATTATAATTTGTTGCCCGACTATGCTTGCTGGGAAAATACCACGAGACAACGGCCGAGGGGCCACGAGTTTCAAGTGAAATATAAAATTTTAACGAATATTCGTTAAAATCATAAATTTTATAAAAGATAGCTAAAATCAATCAATGATGTAACTAATGATTTTAGAAACCTTTTATTTTATTATAAATTTGTAATTCCTACGCTTTTGAACATTAAAATTGCTAAATACCTATTTATGCACTCAATATTAGTAATACTGTTGAGCAGCTACTTTAGCGATTTATTAAATTATTAATTTTCATTTGACGTGGGCTCGTTTATGAATTTTCCGCGGGCCTGAAATGTTATAGCCACGCTACTGATTATAATGATTTATTTCTCATAGCTTAGAACTGTCAGAATTAGTAATTCTAATTTACTGTTAATGCAAAACTATGAATGAAATTTGTGTTATATTTGTTTTTATTGAAAAGGAAGTTTTTTTGTTATCAATTGTTCATAAACCTAATCCTAAATCGTAAGCATTTTGAAATTAAGCCGCAAAAGTATTTAATACAATAAAAAGTACGAATAGCAAAAACCGAAAAATAAATACTGTCTTCATTTCATGAGGACCTACCACCTACTAACTAAAAATAGACTACAAGACCCATTAATACATTGTTTTGTTTCACAGTTGATAGACACTTCAAACGAAGCCGTCGTATCGACGGTGCTGAAGTGCATAGTGGATTTGTTATGCGTGCACGGCGCTAAGGTGTTCGAGGACGAAGCGACGGAGCTGACCTGTGACGTCACCGACTCTGCGAACGCCTCACGAAAACGGAGCACGTATATAGATGCTATTGATGACGAAGGTTAGTCACTACTTATATTATTTCCATTTCTTTATTACCTCGATGACAGCTCCTGTGGAAACTTGAGCGAGCATCTTTTTTAAATTATGTATACATTATTAATTAATAAAAATATGACGCTTACGCAAGTACAAGGTCATAGCAAAGTCGGAGAAACTGATAGGGATGGGAGCTATCGATAAACGTAACACGATAACCCCGATATTTTTTTATAAAGTGTAAGAAACTAAAATATTGCCGGATAACTATCATCAAGAAAATAAAGAAATGGAAATGTGTAGTATATAAGCCAAAACCCAACCGCACTATGTGTAAATATAATAGCACAAGTTCAAACCACTGTGTTATAATGGGAGTTATCAGAGCTCTATAGGTCAGTTATAAAAAGACTGCAATTGATTAATAAAAAAGTGCAATCAATAGACGTCCCGCCCTGCGTACTCGTATTGAGATGCGGCTATGCCAGTGTTCGAATCTTGCAAACAGGTAACGATTTTTCTATTAAAACACGTAAGTCATGTTCACGGTTGACTTGTCTTCTTCTTACTCAACCCGTATCCACCCAATGCTTGGCTTAGGTCTCTTTGAATGCACCTTATTCTCTTCGGTCTCTTGCATTTTTCATCCAACCCCTGCCAACTACTTTGACCAGGTCATCGGTCCACCTCATTGGCTGTCTGCCTACGCTACGACGTCCAGTACGAGGTCTCCACTCCAGTACTTTTGTACCCCACCGATTGTCAGTGCGACGACATATGTGGCTGGCCCACTTCCACTTTTTCCGAGCAATCACTTTGGCTATGTCTCTATCCGCTTAAGCCTGTAAACAATATATTAAATTGGTTCAATTCGGTTGCAGGGAATATATCAGAGTCAGCAATATCAATGTCACCGAATCACAGCACCGTCATAGAACTGCTCCTGAAGATTATGGACAGCGCAGTGAGTTCATCTCTAGTACTCTCTTGAACTATTTGTAATGTAGATGATTGGCAAGATTCCCAATTATGAACTTGTTTGTTTTTAATTATGTTAAATGATACATAAAATCAGAAATAAAGACCCATTAATTTACCTTATTTTAAAATTTGTATCTGTAATTTTCAATAATAATTGGCTAATTGGTTCACGTTGTTTTTAACGATATGTAAATACTCGTATAGACTATAATTTATCCAAAGAACGCAAATAAATAAGCATTAATAAAGACTTTAAACAATAATAATTGCAATTGCATTATTATTAATTCTATAAAATAACTTCATTTTTGTGTGAAGCTTCATTTTGTAAATTAGCACACTGAAATTAAAACCAGATACTCTTGATCACTACCAGCTTAAAAAAAAACATGCAAGCTACACGTGCAAGCTTACATTACTATATTTTTTCAAATAGTGCGCCGCATACAGACTGATTATAGTGGAAGGGATGTGCCGCCTTCTACACTTAGGTCATTTAGAGTCACCGGCGATTCTTAGCAGACTACTGTTGCTATGGTTCAACCCTGCTACGGGTAAGTCTATGATTGAATTACATTTTTTTTCTGATTGGCCGTATATCTCGCTATGCTCTTTGCGGAACTGGAACTTTGAACTAATCAGCCCAAAGTAATGAACATTTTCCAAATAAGATATGACCTAAAGGTCTCTGTTACCAGGTCATAAAATAAAAAAATAATGAACTAATCAGGTATAGGATGTCAGAAAAAATAAAAATAAAAGCTACACTATTTTTATTGTTCCATAGTCGATGAAGATATGCTTCGTCAAACAATCGGGGTGTTCTTCCAAACGTTTCCAATGTGCGTTGATGGCGCTCAAGAACAAATACAGGTATAACTTACTTCATATTAAAATAAGTAGTATTTTTGACGTGACAAAATCTTATAATTCGATGGAGCCGGCTGCACGCACGAAAAATCATGACTCATGCGGCGTTACCTCGCTCTGAGGCGTATTTTCTTATGACGTCACGTTCAACTATCGTCAGTAAACCGACTTTACAGACAACCGATTTTTTTCTGTTTATTTAAATTAAAATTAGAGGTGGGTTTGTTGTGATTCGACTTGTTACAACAGTACTGCATATTTATGGTCTTCAGGATCCAATACCCGTTACTACAACGCCATTGAGAATACAATCATGTATCACTGTATTAATCAGCATAGTATAACTTACCATGGACAATAAGACTGACACTAAATACCTTATTGGTCTGGTAGTTACTGTATCTGGCTACTGTACCACATACATGGCTCAGCTTCGATTCCAGGATGCATCTTTGCTGAAGATGCTTGGTAACAATAACAATTTGAATGCGTGTTACAAAATATAAAGGTATATATCAATTATATAAAATAACTTGAATTTTTGTGTAAAGCTAAGACGCATATAAACGTAACTACTCTTATTAATAGAAATACTATTATAGTTTAGTGACACTTGTTGACTTTATTATTTTTATTTAACAGAAAGCAACTTTGCCCACCATACGGGCCCTGGCGAACGCACCAGCCAGTTCTCCTCTATCAGAAATCGACCAAGAAGCCGTCGTCAGATTCATTGTGTCGCTAACCAAAACTAATTACGAAGTGAGTGTGATCAATTGAAATGGAAATAATTTGTATAATACAAATTATAATATATAAATTGTTTGGAAATGAGACATTAAACTTTAGATTAAAATAAGCGGGCCACATCGGAGATGATACCAAACCGTTTGAGATTGTGAATTTGGCAGGAAAACGGGTGGATTTGAAATTTCAAATTTGGAAGATAAATTATTATTATTCTTTTGTTTTAAACAATTTTTATCTTTTTTCTCTCAAATCTTGGAGTTAATTTATAAAAAAAAAAACGAATGCATTGCATAGCAACAACAAATATAAATCGTAAGGTATACTATGCTATTTATTTGAGGACGGTACTGAGAGATACGGTTGGTATAAAGAGAGAGAGAGTATTCTTTATTGTACACCAAAAAAAGAAATAAACAATGCAATACATTAAATACAAAAAAGTACAATTGGCAGTTTTATCTCAAAAAGCGATTACCTCCAGACAACCATTAGGTGGACAAGAATTATTTGGAAATGAATTACGCGCGGTGTACTAATCCAGTGAAATATCTATATACATACAAATACACAACGTAATATAATATTAATTATAAAAACATAATGTAACATAAACAAAATGTTATGTATGTAATTAATCTAAGGTTTTCCATTTGAACAGTTGGAAGACAGCCAGGCGGGCATGGCGACGGTGCTGTGCCAGTACCTGGTGCGGCGGAGCGGGGCGCCGGAGTCGGGGCTGGCGTGCCGCGTGCTCGCACTACTGGCGCCACCGCGAGACGTACGCCGCGCCAGCGAGCTCGCCGCCACGCTGCGAGACCTCTGCGTGGTAACGGACAACTTTTTTTTTCTTTGTATAGTTATACTGGTGGTAGATAGGACCTTTGAGTCGGCACGGGTAGGTACCACCACCCTGCCTATTTCTGCCGTGAAGCCGTAATGCGTTTCGGTTTGAAGGCTGGGGCAGCCGTTGTAACTATGCGACCTTAGAACTTATATCTCAAGGTGGGTGGCGCATTTACGTTGTAGATGTCTATGGGCTCCAGTAACCACTTAATACTAACTAGGTGGGCTGTGAGCTCGTCCACCCATCTAAGCAATAAAAAAAAACAGGCAACATTTTTGAATGTATTGAAAAATGGTACGTGTATATTAATGGTCTGGTGAAATAACTTAGGATGGGCACAGGACTTTTAATTAATATTTTTATTAATGAGACATTAATGTCAGCCTCAAATCTGTTGTATAAATAAAAGCTGTACCGACCCCTTCTAACCGGAACACATTACAGTTTTCCAAATTTATGATACGTTTTACCTCCAAATGGATCACAAATCTCCCTCACTTTTCTACTTATATAAGACAGTAAATTAATTAAAAATCAAAATATATCTGCACAATTTTTTTAATTTTTTTTTATTGCTTAGATGGATGGACGAACTCACAGCCCACCTGATGTTAAGTGGTTACTGGAGCCCATAGACATCTACAACGTAAATGCGCCACCCACCTCGAGATATAAGTTCTAAGGTCTCAGTATAGTTACAACGGCTACCCCACCCTTCGAACCGAAACGCATTACTGCTTCACGGCGGAAATAGGCGGGGTGGTGGTACCTACCCGTGCGGACTCCCAAGAGGTCCTACCACCAGTGATTACGCAATTTATAATTATGCGGGTTTGATTTTTATTACACGATCCTTCACCATGGAAGTCAATCGAGAACATTTGTTGAGTACGTATTTCATTAGAAAAATTGGTACCCGCCTGCGGGATTCGAACACCGGTGCATCGCTTCATACGAATGCACCGGACGTCTTATCCTTTAGGCCACGACGACTTAAGTAACTTAATATGTTATTTTACCTACACAGAAATTACCCGATAAACAATCGTGTCGAAATTTAACACGTTACTTGGGCGCTTTAGAAGCTACCGAACGAGCCAGTCTCCACAAAATTTCGAGTGAGTTGTAATGCAGTTGCTTTTTGTAAGAATATAATATAGTATTTGTAGCTTTTTTTAAGAGATTTTGTGATCTGGTAACTGAGACCTTTAAGTCATGTCTTATTTTAATTTATATTATTCATATTTTTATGAAAAATGATATTACGGAGTGAAATGAAATTAATATGATTAATTTGAAACACTAATCAATTGGGATGAAATTAAATGAAATGAATTAAGATGATATGGTGGTAATTTACTAAGATTTTTTCAGTGGACTTTTTGGAGGATCCCGAGAAGTTATGTCCAGCGGCTTTGTTTCATTTTCCCACATTTGTGCACTTTCACGGATATTAAACAGTTAATAAACCACCATTATTACACATTTAAACCCGAAGAAACACTAAATAGACAAAATAAAACAAATCACACAATTTCACTCCTCGCGTTCCCGCCAAAAATCATCAGTATTTGTAGCGGTAGCTGTTATTGAACAGAAGATATTTGACAGATACCTAAATTGCGAAGTCCAGAACAAATAACACACGGACCGTTAGTTTACCCAATAACTTCACCCGCTCGATAGAATATCTTCCGTTTGTCGATTACCTATATTCAATGTTCACCCACTTCTGTTGTTTTTCATCATCATCATCATTTCAGCCTATCGCCGTCCACTGCTAAACATAGGCCTCTCCAATAGATTTCCAGTGCGACCGGTCCATTGCCACCTGCATCCAACAAGACCCAGCGCTTTTTACTAGGTCGTCGGTCCATCTAGTAGGTGGCCGTCGATTAGGACGGTCGATGGGGCAGAAAGATCCTGGAGTGACGACCACGTACTGGCAAGCGCAGTGTGGGACGGCCACCTGTTGTTCTTGTATACCAAAAATTGTCAATACTTTTGATGTCAATACCAAATGATATTGACAAGCTTTTTCGGCAGTAAACTTGGTTGATACAAAATAAAACTCTTAAATATAATTGAAATTAGTAACTACCAATATCTAATGTAGTCTCGTTAAATGTCTTAACTAATACAGGACATAAAGCGCTTATTATTTATTACCTTTTTAAATACTAACCTTAGTTGCATTCGAAGAGCAGACGAGGTATTGACGAAATATTCTATGATATTTCTAGGGGTACGCTAATTTCAACCTTAATTATCTGAAAATAGAGAGTACAAGAATCTCATAATTGTAACACTGTTGCTTACCCAGTATATAATATTGCAGGCATAGCGGAAGGAACGTTACAAGATGACACGATGGTGATGGGTCGCGCCACCACGTCGTTACGTAAGAATTTACTTTTTTTTAAATTAGTCTATTGCATAACAGTTTACGGTTCATATTATTATAAAGCTAAAAAAACAAGGATTTTTTCAATTAGGCCGTATTTATATTTGTGTTATCCCACAGCTTTTGAGTGAATTGTTTTGGATTATTCTTTTTCTATGTGAAAGCTGCCGCTTCTCATGTGGTCCTATTTAAATTTTATCTAGATCTGATCAGTAGTTTTTGAGTTATCTTTGATAGACCATATTAAATTGATTTCTACATTAATTACACTGTAGATGATGATATTCTTTTTTACTATGTTCAATCCAGTTTTTTTCTTTGTATTATTCGTCTAATATTGTCTGAAAATAGTGTTTCAATTCGATTACAGCAACAGGGTAGATAAGACTATTTATTATTAGCACATATACAAGTATCCACCACATCGGTACTACGATTTATTATTTAGTTAGTAATACATAATTATTAAAAATAAGTGGCCTTGGATTGGTCACACTTTGAGAAAGCCCGATACACACCTATCAAAGAGAGCACTGACCTGGAAAGTGTCTGGTAAAAGGAAGAGAGGCCGCCCCAGAACAACTTGGCGTCGCTCGGTGGAGCTGGAGCTAGGGGTCTTGGGCATGACGTGGGAGGAGCTAGAACAGACTGCCCAAGACCGATATAAATGGAAAAATTTGATTCGAGCCCTACACCCCAGCAGAGGGTAATAGGAAAGCATGATGATGATGATGATGAATACATAATTAAAGTGCCACATTAAATTATTATTACATTTCTATACTATGTTTAAAATGCGAAAACATAAAACACAAAAAGTTCTTAATAGATGAAGAAATAAAAAAAACTATTGTCGAACACGATCGTAAGGATCAGCAAAAATATTAATACTTAAGTATGTACTGACGGTTACGCCTGAACATAAACATAGCAACATTGCGTTTCAATGTCGATCATTATTATTATTATTTTTATTGCCCTTGTAGGCAGACGAGCATACGGCCCAGCTGATGGTGAGTGGTTACCATCGCCCATGGACTTCAGCAATGCCAGGGGCAGAGCCAAGCCGCTGCCTACCGATTAATTGTAAATAAATAATTACCTTAAATAAAATACCTTTCAGCACAACCGATAGCGCGCAGTACGCACGTGGTCGTAAATGAAACCGTCGAGGAAGAAAACGAAATCGATGAGACGTCTCCATCTGAAATGTTCTGTAAGATACCAGAAGGTGCGTACTGTTATATCCGGACTTCAGTGCCGTAGATATGCAGACCCTTTTTTTTTTTTTTGTCAGGAGGAAATCGCCGGACTCCCACCCTCCACTGGGGATGGAGGGTGGGGCATGTCGGAGTCGAACCGACTAAAACATCCTGTCGCTCAACAACCAACGTCCAACCCTCGCATGAGACAGAACTCATGAAAAGGCAAGGGGAGGAGAGTGAAGACCCTACCGTATTCCTGCTGCATCAGCTTTGCCATATCCTTATCCATACCATACCTCATTACCATTCCCGCTCCACTCAATCAGTTCGTATCCATCCTTCGCCGCGTTCACGCCTATCACTGTATCCATACAATTCCAAATCTTTTATATTTCTCTAGCTGACCCGTCAGATTTCGTAGTGCCTCAATCGATAAATAAAAGACATAAACTTTTGTATAAAATAAACTTTAAACAAACAAAAGGAATCGGTCCGACGGGGGGGGACACATCAAAGGAAAACAAAATTGTTATTATTATTTAATTCCGAGTATTTTCATATTTATCTACCTTTTAAACCTTCTCTGGACTTCCACAAATAATTCAAGACCAAAATTAGCCAAATCGGTTCAGCCGTTCTGGAGTTTTAACGAGACTAACGAACAGCAATTCATTTTTATATATAGAGATTACTATTGAATAAGTTTTAATTAAATCCAGTATAAATTAAAATTTAGTTTTTTTTACAAAGGGATTTACAGAATCCCCTATAACAGTACGATGCTTTGTAATATTTTTTTTTTACATTTATTAGATTCCTATCGTATTTACTAATAAATAGTATATATTCACGATAGTTATTTTCTATTGTTCACTTCGCATTAAAAAGCATACTCGATGTTTGACGATTTACGAATAACCACTTCCATTTATGAATGGATATTATCGCGTATTATGTAGCCCCGCCCTAACTCGACTAACTTATTGTTTTTTTTTTTTAATATTATACTCGTCGATGTATAGCATACCATACTCTATACCTAAATGTTTTACAGAAAAATCACAAACTGAAGAGAGTAATACTAAGTCCAGTAGACAGTCTACCGAATCAGAATCTGTTCCAATACGAGATACCAAAGATATATTGTCGGATTCTAGCAGCGGAGTATCTCCGGTGAAGAAAGCTAAAATATCAAAAGGTGTTTATTTATAATTAATATTCTTATTTCATTAATTAAATATGTAATAGTACCTCCGAAAATTATATGCTGATTAATTATTTTGAACTGCCCTTATAAGCATTAAAGCATATGGCCCATTTTATAGTAATTACAAAATGTATATATATTTTTTTGGTATTGCCTACTTTTATAGTTGCCTATCCGCCAGTAAATACCTCAAAAGCCTTTTAAAACAGTAAAATTATCTTTAACAGAGTTTTCAGACCTACATTAAAAAAATGTTTACAATTATTATACCTTTATTGTATGTATGTATTTATATATATGTATTTGTCTTTTGTGACATTTTCGTAAAGTATAAATCAAATTAAATGCAAATAAACGTTTTACAGTACAAAAAAAGAAGATGCCGGCGAAGAAATCGTCTACCATTGAAACGGCCAACAAAGCGAAAGTCACAGAAACCATCAAAAAGTCCAAACAGAAAAGTGAAGATACAGAAAAGGGTGTCAAACGAAGTCGATCGCAGCGATCCCTGGTGGACGTCGATAGAGGTGAGGTACCGTTACCGAAATAAGAATATAAAATATGAATTTTATAGACTTATTTGTTTATGTTTTATCAATTCACGCATCTGATTAAGTTGCATTATTTTGCGGTCTCGCTAGTAAAACAGTTAGCGCGCCTGACCAAGTATTGAATTCCCGTATTGAGCATTAGTTTCCATGGTGTAATATAGTCGACGTCGCCCTGAGCACGTTATTGCGCATCCTCCCGATCCATTAACGGTGCTTTTAGGCACCACAAACACCTGTCACTGCTCTCGCCGAACCCATCGCTTGCGACGAAGGGTTCGACGAGTAAATTAACCCATAAACACAGCCCACTGAGTTTCTCGCCGGATCTTCTCGGGCGGTCGCGTATCCGATCCGGTGGTAGATTCTGCGAAGCACTGTTCTTGCTAGGGCCAGTGTTAGCAACACTCCCGGTTTGAGCCCTGTGAGGTCACCTACACGTTAGGGCGAAGCTGAAATAGCCTCTGAAGGAGAAAAAAGAAAAAAAAAATTATATTGGGAATCCTAGCTTGAGGCCAGATTGTAAATTGCCGTCAACTTTTTATTTATTAGTGTTTAGTAGTGTAAACAATCACATTAACTGAAAAATGTTCAGTTTCATCCAAAGGTCAAAAAGACAAAGAGTCTAAAACAAAGATGGCCTCTCCCCCGCCGAGCGTGCCCGCAGAGCTGGACGTGTCGAACGTGACCGCGCGGCGCTCCGCCCGCGCCGCGCACTCCTCCTCCAGCCGCGAGTCGACCGTATCGAATGGGACTCAACGAAAAAATAAAAAAGGTACAATTCAATAAATAAATTGACTGTGCCCCTGCATTATCGATGACCATGTGCGACAGTAACCACTCACCATCAGGTGGACCGTATGATCCTCTGCAAACAAGGCAACTACAAAAATTGAGAGGTGTCAAGGGACACCCGGATGGAATGAAGTTCCTTTCGATTAATTAGTGAAGGAACTGTAATTTATTATTTTTTAAGTTATAATAATATTATGTTTTTTATTATTAACAAATATAATGTAATATAAACTTAATCTATATTACTATCAAAAATTTTAAGCATTTATTATTGTCTGTATAAAATCTCTACTTACATAACTCTAATGAACTAACTAATGAACAATATTTTTTTTTAATTAATATGTCTAACTCTAACTAAATAACTAACTAAATAACTCTAACTAATGAACAATATTTTTTTTAATTAAAATGTCACTTCATAGTTAAAAAAAAACTAAATATTTTCCAGGAGAAGTCAGAACAGGAACACGTTCGTCGGGGCGCAGTAGTACGGCGAGCAGCTCGCGTGACTCTCTCCAAGACTCGTTCGACGATACCACACTCCACACTATTGTTTACGACAAGGAAATGGTAAGACATTTTAATACGCTTTTATTAGCTTCAGACGTTACGTATGTTACGGAATCTTTGAACATGATTTTGACCACTTTCAAAACGTCGGATTAACTCGAAATTTGATATACTTATTAAGGACCGATGACATTTCAATATTAAAAAAAAATGCAAATTCAACTAAAAAATGAAAAATAAATAATACTTTAAAAAAACTAACAAAATACATTTTTATAGAAAATCTATAGAAAGTTTATAGAAAATAGAAAAAAAAAAATTTTTCTTACACTATTTTTAAAACAAATTTATTAAAATTTATTATAAATTTTTTAGTTGAATATGAAATTTTTTCAATTTTTTTTTAATGGAACACTTAATAAAGCTGGCGACATGTTACCAGAAGGTGGGCACCAGAGGGCGCTGTCTGAGACCGCTAACATGATCGCTCGCGCGGTGCATGGCTTGCTTTAACGAAACTATGGATATTAAATTTCGAGTGTACAGCATTTGTTTTAAGATGTCGTAGTTTGTATTCAAAAATCGAACAATGTCTCTAAAGATAATATTAGAACTAGCATCTTACTTGACCGGTCTGAACTTCGTATAGATGACTGCGCGAATAAAGAGATTGTTAATAGTCGAACATAATTCAGTCAAAAAAACATTACAACAACACACAGAGCTGCGTAATAATTCAATCTATATTCGAGGCTGGTCATGTGCGGACCAGTCTGGGCGCACCCTGTGGGTGACAGTGAACGAACGTAATGACAAAGAGAAGAACTTCCACCGAGCAGGTGATATTGCTTGGTAGACCGACGGTCCGAATGTCATTGTTCGGAACTTTTATATATGCAAACTTATCTTGAAAATGCGTTAGCGAGATTCAGGCATCTGTCAAATATCTTGTCTTCTATGTTACCGGAGCCTGTGGACATCAACAACATAAATGTCATTACCAACCTTAACATAATATAACCTTTAATTTTTTTTATGTTTTGTTTTGTTAAGTTATGTAGTTGAAGTCAAGTTTGTGATCACCTCTCTAATTTATAATATGGCACAATATACAGTAATATCGTACATATTTTCCATTTTGAATAAAAATTCATAGTGATCAGTTAATAAAATCGTACCGAAACTAAAGCTATTAAGATATTCGTAAAATAATTTGAATCATTAATTGAACAGGAACAAGAAATATTGGACGATTCTAGTGAACTAATGGAGAGTAAACGAGCGTCAAAAGGAAACGTCACAATACCTGAAACACCGGAGGCGAGCGATGAGTAAGTATTTATATTCACTTTCATTGTTAAATAAAGCCAGATATTGACGGACCAGTTTACGGACGGTCTGATCCGTTATTAGATTTTTTTTATCGCTTGGTTTTAAGCGTTTACCGGAGCCCATCTACATAGACATCTACAACGTAAATGCGCCACCCACCTTGAGATATAAGTTCTAAGGTCTCAAGTATAGTTACAACGTCTGCCCCACCCTTCAAACCGAAACGCATTACAGCTTCACGGCAGAGATAGGCAGGGCGGTGGTACCTACCCATGCGGACTCACAATAGGTCCTACCACCAGTAATTACGCAAATTATAATTTGCGGGTTTGATTTTTATTACACGATATTATTCTTTCACCGTGGAAGTAAATAGCAAACATTTGATAAGTACGTATTTCATTAGAAAAATTGGTACCCGCCTGCGGGATTCGAACGCCGTTGCATCGCTACATACGAATGTACCGGACGCCTTATCCTTTAGACCACGACGACTTCAAATTTTTTTATTCTTCTAATTCCTTTATTCTCTGCCTAATTGTTGATAGCCTAAACAGCTATTCCTACTACGCGCGGACCGGTAGGTGAGCTCAAGGGGTTCAAACTGAGAGAATTTGCTAACATTGGTCCTAGTAAGAGCAGTGCTTCGCTGAATCTACCGCCGGTCAGAATCGCGACCAACTCAGAGATCCGACGAGAAACTTAGTAGGCTGTATCTATGGGCCAGTTCGCACGTCAAACTCTTCGAGTCGTCACGTGAACGCCCGCCCCTATCTTGAAACATGAGGTCGAAGTCTCAATTGTATAACGGTTGCCTCACCAATATTATAGAAAAACTATAATAATTCCGGAGTACAACGATCGACTTCCACGAGCTGATCTGATACTGACTACATGGAGAGAGGGCATTATTGTAAAAAATTTAATGACACAAGAAAAATATTTTTACAGATCTGAACCCGAACCAGAGACAATAAAACCGAAAGGGAAAAGAAACACAAAAAAGAAATAATTATAGCATGTAGTATATATTTAATAAAACTATTTTATAAACATCTATTTGTTTAATTTTAGTATCTGTTTATTTTTTTTCTGACTCGTTGTTTTTGTTACGGTTTGAGTTCACTTTATTCTCTAATTGATGCGAGCTGCGCATCCGTCTCTGGTGGGTTTTAATTGTTCAATTATCTGTGTTACCTTGTCATATACATGTATGATTTTTTGGCTGTAGCTGTGATTTCGTAAAGTAATTAAGGCTTGTGGGTTATAATGCAAGCCTGTGCACACGTGCCGCTGCTCTGCCTATTTCTGCTGCTAAAAGATAATACAAGCGTTATTACAAAACAATTGAGATTTCGAATTTATAATTTAAATAAGCAACGATCACTTTATGGTGTACTTACTCGTTTTGATTATTTTTCGCCTGGTGGTGAAACTCAACCGTAATTTCTGATATGTATCTCGTTTAAGTGTTTCATTTTTTCTTTTGTTTCGTTATTAACATTTTTTTTTTATTTCCTGAATGGGTGGACGAGCTCACGGCCCACCTGATTTTAAGCGGTTAGTTTTACTTCCTCACTAAGCTGTCTCTGCTATAGAACATAACAGCAGAGCTGGATACATCCAACCAGCGATGTCATATCTACCAACTTCTTGGTAGATCTATCAATTTTCACTTCAGTCTATCTATCTACCACCCTAGACCTAAAAACTACCTATTTTTTTATTAGTTTGACATATCACCACGTTGAATTATTTTTATATCGACGAGCGATGTTGTGATGTGTTGCGTGAGCCATGCGGCGATGCGTCAAGCATACATAGAGTCCAGGCCATAAATGATAAACTAAAAAAAAAAAGTCAGCAACATTTCGCCTGTATATTATTAAACATATTAAACTGTTCTGTGGCATATTCCCGGTTGATTTGTTGCGGAATCAATGGTGAATTTTTGCTCCTGTTTTGTGTTGTTTTGTTGTTAAAACCATCGATTATATATACACTTAATATTTAGAGTTAAAACGAAATAACTACTTACTTATTAACGGCGCTGATTGCTTTTTGTTCTGTATTGCAAGCATTTATTTATATAATGGATTCCGACAGCAGCGAAAGCGATGCACAGAGTTCTAGGTTAGGAACTCCGCCACGAAAATAGTATGCGAATTCGTGAGAAAATTACTCGCACTTCCACATAGTAGTGCCAACGTTGAGAATTTTTTTTCTGCAATTAATAATATGAAAACCTTCCAAAGAAATAGAATTTACATGGATACTCTAGAGGGATTGTTGCGTACTAAAGATTTATAGCAAACAACGGGCAGCCTAGCGCAGAACATTTGAAACTTTGCAATAAAAATATCTATAATTTCCAAAAATAAACATTTCAAGAACAGTTCATGCATTTTTAATCTTAAGTCTTCTAAATTGAGGTGGTAGATCTACCAATTTTGCATTATACATTCTTCCAACTTCTACCAACATTTGGCACATAATCTACTAATTTTCTAAAGTTAGGGCTGGCAACACTGCATCCAACTACAGCGTGCAAAGTTCTATTTACCGATAGCATATAGAAACGAAAAAAAAAATATTCTAACGTGTATTTTATTTATTAAATTTGTTATTACAAACATCAAATTTATTTAATCGTAGTATCTCTGGCTTCGTTCTTGTGGGTTGTTTTTGTGCCAGTCTGAGTTCGGTTTGTTGTGCCATTCATGCCAGCCGTGCCAGTTTTTGTCCCAAGGTTTCCATCTTTGGTCCCACTGGTGATTTTTGTTTGTTTCGTTGTCTGTTAGCTTGTCATCTTTATTTTCTTGGCTATATGTGCCAAATCCCCCTGGCCTAAAAATAATATGAATTTAAAAAAAAAAATTATAAAAATAATACCTATAACCAGCTGCTTCGCTCTCGTTAATGTTTGTCAATCAGACGATCTGCCCACAGGCTGAACACCCCCTAAGTTACTCGCCGAAGCTTATCAGTGGGTTCTTATTCTGATCCGGTGGTAGATTCAGCGAAGCACCACTCTTGCTAGGGCTAACAAGGTCCCTCTAGGTTGAGCTCACGAATGAGCTGGCAAGACTTGGAGCCAAAATGTGCATAGGTAGCTGGAAGAGCCCCTTAGACTACCAACGAATAGGAAAAAAAGAAACTATTTTATAGCTGCTAATTGGAAAAACGCAAAACTTGCATACATACATAATGGGAGTAATATGCCTTTTTCAAATACTATATTATTGTGTATTTTTGTTCTTGGCCCCTTCTAATAGTGGCACTATAAAGTATGTAAAATTCTCTTGGAGGAAAATTAAATTTATAGTGTTATTCCTTCGTTGAAAAAACATTTTTCTAGAGATAGTACTTATTGAAAGGTTCTTTCGTGCGCCTTGGACAAGCTATATTCAAAATTGTATACGCATGTTTAATTGGTAACGGATTAAATAGTTTCTTGAAACTGTCGTTGAGACAACTCAGTTTTTGCTATATTTCTTCTATTTGGCTACAGTACCTGTTCTCATTATTGGCGCTGGAGTCGCTGGGGTGACCGAAACGATTCCCTAGTTCCGCTGGCGTTCTCTTCGCTTGTTGGTATCTAGTTGTAACAAATTCTGCTGCTCTTTCTGCTATCATTATGGTAGGTGCTGCCGTATTACCTGTATTATTAATATTCAAAATTATTTCGATAAAAACACACGAAAGTAACGTTGGACTGAAAAACAAACGACAAGCGTCCGTCGCCTGGTGTGTAGGACGCCGTACAATATATGAGGCCGAGTGAAGTGTAGTGACCCCAAAGAAATGAACATTTTCCAAATAAGATATGACCTAAAGGTCTCTGTCACCAGGTCATAAAATTAAAAAAAAAAAAAATAGTGCTATAGTGGCCTAAGCTTACCACCATCGATATATTACCACTAGATAACGCATCGCATACAAAAACCAAACACAAAAATGGCATCGACTAACTGATCTGACTACACCATCAAGTGGAGAAAAACGATGTATAATATAATAATTGTAACCTAAACTATGCCTTTTCCCCAAGTGATAAAGTGCAGTTTAGATTATTTTAACATTCACTTACGACCTTACGCCATGAATGACAGAAAAAGATTTACAATAACTTTTATTCCAAATTTAACCTTATCTCCTTAAAAATAAAGCAAAAATTTACACGCACAGCATTTTACTTACGCCCTTTTAAACTTACGATATTAAGACTTTACTGCTCCGAACAGAGTATTACAGAGTCGCACTTTATACTTTTTTTGTAAGAATATTTCGAGTAATTTATTTTGTATTATGTTTTTTTAATTCATATTCATTCAATTTTTTCAATTTAATTCCTTATGATTAACAACAAATATTGTATAACTATAGATAATTATACCTGCGTTAGCTATATTGTACCTTGCACATCGGTGGGGAAAATGGATAAGAGCTTTTTAAATCACAACAACATAATCCCCATCAAATTGTTTTATTTATTAAATACATGTCAGATTCGGTAAAATTGTCTGCACAAACCACACTGGAGCAATTAGGTTTGAAATCATTGTCGCTTCTTTTTTCTTTTATTACTCTGTTATTAAATCTGTAAAAATGTAAAAACAAATTCCAGTTTACAGATTTCACTTCGCCGTCCGTTGTACAGACGTCTGTTGCATTCGTATCTGATCTAGCGATACACGGGGTGTTCGAATCNTAGTGAAGGAATTGTAATTTTTTTTTAAGTTATAATAATAAATTACGGCATTATGAAGAAGAAAAAAACAATACTATGAACTAAATTACTATTGTTGAAACGCTATCTCGAGAAACTGTACTCATTACGCGGACCAATCGGATACGAGCAATGTCACGCGATAAGCGCCTACACGTTGATTGGTCAGAATGACGGATCTTAAAAGTGTCGTGACAACTTTTCGTAAGAATTTTTTCCGTCTAGCCCCCTTTCACAACGCGCGATAGGGAACTTCGTTCCAATATTTATAAAAATTGGACGGAAGAAAATACCTTAACCATCCGTGACCACGAAAATTGTAAAGTATTCGAAATGTCGAATGTGGTAAAGTGAAAATAACAAACTCTTAAGCCGTAAAACTAGTTTTAATNTGCACACCTACTCAATATTTAATATTATATCATATTTAATTACGTATTCTATAACACACTCTCATACAGTACACAAATACGCCAAACAATCATACATTCACAACACTATTCAAAATTATATTATTTACACAAGCATAGTCGGGCGCAACCGCTAGTATGCGGCAAAGACCCCGACTATGTATAACTGCGTACGTACTGGCCGTCGCCTGCGCCACGACTTGGCCGCCGCTCGCGGCCAGTCGGGTTTGATCAACGCTACGCTAAGACTGTGTCACTCCTCGACTTACGCGTACTCTTTTGCTTCGTTACGAATTATTGCTTTCGTCTATTTTGTATAATTGTGTTTGAACTTGCTACCGCTTTATCTGTGCCTTCTGTACTCCGTAATTTCTCCTTCTAAATATTGCTATACTATCTGTGATTGGAAATAAACTGTCCCTCCAATTACGGACTCGTTATTGTGCCGCCCGGCACTGGTGACCTTACCACCGCCATCAACGACTACCAAACTGACGGCAAAACAGTGCTTAATATGAATCTAAGCACTGTTTTGTTTGGTTACTTTTGACGCTTTTACGCGGGATCTAGTGGTAATATATCGATGCTTACCACAGTTAATATGGAGATAATGAGGTTCGAATTTACCTTTACAATACTTTGGAGGCAAAAAAAATACGCGCTAAAATTATGTTTACAAAGTCTTCTGTTATCTATGGATGAAACTAGGGATAGGCCGATTTTGCATCAAAATTTGTTATGTTTTAAATAAATAAAATTAAATAATAATAAAAAAATACATAAGCACAAATATGAATTGTAGGTTAGGTCACTTTTGCGCTGACGGCCTCATATGTTGTATTTCAAAATGAATTGATCGTGTGAAAATTTTTCTATATAACTTTATAATAATGAAATAATGAAAATAAAACTAACAAGTTTCCAGAAAAACGTATTTAACAGCGGTAGGGATGTGTGAAAAGGGATGCTTTGAGCTCATATAGATTCATATTAACATCTCGTCTGCTACGAAAGATTACGACAGCTTTTATTAAAATACAAAAGAGACCTCTTATTCATATCTTATTATGGACAACGGTACTCTCTGATTGTGACACTAATAAAAACTTAAGGATCGTGTAGTTAAACGTCCGTCTATCAAGGAGTCATCCGCTTCAAAATAGAAAAGATAACAGGCTGAATAGTTGAAACAAACCGTTTCGCAAAATTTTAAGTAAACTATGAGGTATCAGGTGCTGCAATTGTTCTTCTTACAAGGACTAACATAACACTTCAATTCGTGTAACGAATTATAATTTATACTAATATTATAAAGCTGAAGAGTTTGTTTATTTGTTTGAACGCGCTAATCTCAGGAACTACTGTTCCGATTTGAAAAATTATTTCAGTGTTAGATAGCCCATTTATTGAGGAAGGCTATAAGCTATATAGCATCACAGTAAGACCAATACAAGTGGAGCACCAATATAGAATGTTTCTAAATAGGGGTATATATAGCTCCTTAACATTCTGTAATTCAAAAATATTGTCACTTTCTACGTAAATGAAGTGGGGGGTAAAATTTAGCGTTATGCTAAAGTAACTATTCCACGCGGACGGAGTCGCTGGCAAAAGCTAGTGAAATCATACCTGACGGAACCGTTGGCATGATTGACGCATCAGCCACGCGTAAACCTGAAATTCAAGAACAAAACCTTAATTAAGCATCTTTACGTCAATTATATGCGATTTTAATAAACTAAGAAAAATTTTATAAGCTAAATTGTTGGTCAATTTATTAACCTTTAATGAAAATTCTTCATAGTATCGAAAAAAAAAAATCCCCACTACCAATCTCGTAATCCTCAAGGCTTTATTACAAGACATTTTATGTAGAACTATTAGATTTCTTGAAGACCTACCCTTTATTCCATGAACCCTAAGCTGCATATCCACTACAGCCATCGGATCGGTAAGCGGTCCCATCTTACAAGTACCAACTTGGTGGTTTTCAGGGGCGGTTTGATGTTGCGCCAAACACCTAAAGAATTCAGGTGTCGGAGAAAGTCCACCGCCCTCACATTCACTCCCATATCCTTCTGTTGGAGTCATTCCATACTTTTCACGCATTATCTATTACAAAATGCACAATTAAAAAAATATATTTAAACACTACTTTACCCCGATTACGTTTTACTGTGATTGACACTAAATTATTGACTTAAATACACTATTTGAAATAGCTCAAGCACCACTTTTGTTACGTTGTTCAGAAACTACATAGCAGATATCTTCCTAGGCCTCCCTAAATTTTTTTTTTTTTATACTATCTGTGTCAATAACTTTAGTTAAGGAATTCCGACAACAATAACGATTTTGGCCCGATGTTCGATGACATTTTTTGTATAGATAATACGACAAGACTGATTCTTGAGTGATGATCGTATTGGGAAACGTAAAGTGAAACACGCCCCCCTCCCCTCCCTCTTACGTAAGGTGGCCCGGTAAAAAATGTTGTGAAGACCCCTAGACTGGGCTCACTGATTTAAATTGGGAGTGACCTATGTCCAGTAGTGTCGACATACGATCCTGATGTTTGATGCTAAACCTTACTAAAGCTTTTTTTTTATTGCCGCTTAGGCAGACGAGCATACGCCACACCTGATGGTGAGTGGTTACCATCTATCATGGACGTCAGCAATGCCAGGGGCAGAGCCAAGCCGCTGTCTACCGCTTAATACTCTCCACAAGCCTCGTTTGAAGAAGGACATGTACATTATACAAGGTACATTATGTATTATTTGTGTATAATTACCGTAGTGTTAGCTAGTTTATAAGCGATTTGAGCGGCCTCAACTAGCACATCCAGCTCGTGCTCGTCATAAAAGTAGTTCGGTTGCATGAGCGGTGGCTGCGTTGGATCAACGGACTGCAAAGTGAGGTAGCCGCGACTGCGTGGATGTAGAGATATCGCTGATATCCTGTAATTCAGAATACACGTTAAAATATCTAAAAGAAAATTGTAAAATGTAGATTATTTTAAATTAAAAACGAAATAAATAAGACTTCCGTTAATAATTACTGATTGTTTACTCCTGAAAAATACGTGAACTTCCTAAACGAATAAGTTTTTAATAAGCCTTAATAAAATAAAAAAATATTGGAAACAAATCACGCACGGTCATCCGGCCTCAATTTAGGATTCCCTGTATTATGGATACCAGAAACCGACAAACATACTTATAAACGTTAACACCCAGACAGAGAGCAAACAAAACTGTTTAATACACAATGTAAGCCCGATGTGGGAATCGAACCCAATACCCTCGGCGCAAAGTTAGGGGTGCTAACTAATGCTCTACCGATTCAATCGAACAATAAATATAATAATCAAGATTAAATAAATACTACTTACGATATCTCCTTCTTATCTGTAATTTCTTTCACTTTCACGTCATCAGGTACTACACCGTCTCCACAGGTGGCATAATAACCGCCAAAGAAGAATTGTATGTCAGGATGACGTCCGCCCGAAGGCGCGTACCGAGAGTTAACAATACCTGTTAACTGAAGCGTTTTGATTATAGATACATATAAAAAAAAATGTTAGATTTTCTAGAAAACGATTATTTTTTCTTGCTTAGATGGGTGGACGAGCTCACATCCCACCTGGTGTTAAGTGGTTACTGGAGCCCATAGACATATACAACGTAAATGCGCCACCCACCTTGGTATATAAGGTCTGAGTATAGTTACAATGGCTGCCCTTCAAACCGAAACGCATTACTGCTTCACGGCAGAAATAGGCGAGGTGGTGGTACCTACCCGTGCGGACTCACAAGAGATCCTACCAACAGTAATAAACAAACAATAATGAATAATAATGTAACAACGAGTTTAAATCTATTTAGACTTCATTAATATAAATTTGTGATGTGTCGTGAGCTTGACTCAGATCTAGGATAATAAAAAAATTAAAATTATACAGCTTCCACTTCGTGTTTCATGGTGCGCGATGGTATCTTTGTGGTCTGCATGAACTCTATTTAACCCATAATGTGCCTAACTAGTGCATTAAAATATGATAATCCTCTTATTAAGCGACTAGCGACCCGCCCTCGCTTCGCTTCGGAAACATTAAAACACACATGAAACCAAAAAAAAAAAAGTAGCCTATGTTCATCAGGGACAATGTCGGCTTCTAATGGAAAAAGAATTTTTCAAATCGATCCAGTAGTTTCGGAGCCTATTCGAAACAAACAAACAAACAAATCTTTCCTCTTTATAATATTAGTATAGATACACCATGTAGTTACAATATCGCTAGAAGGTTACCTATCAATCCTTATTTACTGGTGTTAGGACATCTTGTGAGTCCGCACGGGTAGATGCCACCGCCTTACCTATTTCTGTCGTGAAGCAGAAATGCGTTTCGGTTTGAAGGGCGGGGTAGCCGTTGTAATGTAAAAACTGTAGGTGTCTATGGGCTCAGGTAAGCACATAACACCAGGTGGGCCGGAAAGTCGTCCACCCATCAAATCAATAAAAAAAAAATTTAGAGCAGTAGCGTAATAATAGGTGTTTACATTGGATCCAGGCGACGGAGTAACACAAAGCCGCCGCAGCTCGAAATATCTTTTACGACCACGACGGTCCGCCTTCATGTTTTCAAAACCATCACTAACAGTGAACCTTAAAATAAATTTCACTCACTTGAGACATTCCAGTTCCAGACATGGGACCCATTCTGTTAAGCATATACTCCATAGCGGTTGCCCAATTCAACACAGGCACATCGGGCTCCTTTGTCAATGTGAAGGAGAGCTGAACTCCGACATGATTTTGTAAGTTTTGCCCTACACCTGGGAGCTCTTGTATAGTTGGTATATTAAATTTATCAAGGGTCTCTCTTGGTCCCACTCCAGACAGAAGTAATATTTGCGGAGAGTTCAATGTCCCTGCTGATAGTATTGCCTGAAAAATATAATCTTATTTGTATATCAATACACTCATGATAGTCGAGTGCAAAGAAAACTATTGCAATCTAACTTGTAAATATTCCATTTTGTGTACAATATTCTCTTTTAAACGAATAACACATCATAATGCGAATATTTGCTAATGTTAGTATTTGAAGTTGCAACATAGGTTATACTAATATGAATGTACTCAAAATTAACTATAGTTTAGTTGTTTTGCCCTTGTTATGTATTTTTTAACACCATATTGTAAGGTAACGGGATTCTTAGGCATCTTTTTTTTTATTACTTAGATGGGTGGACGAGCCCACCTGGTGTGTTAAGTGGTTACTGGAGCCCATAGACATCCACAACGTAAATGCGCCACCCACCTTGAGATATAAGTTCTAAGGTCTCAAGTATAGTTACAACGGCTGCCCCGCCCGCATCTTACTAATTACCTCTTTTATAACTCCGACTGTTTTCGTTTGACCATCTTTTATGTACTCAACAGCAGTGACTTTCTTTTCAAGTGGATCAATGATGACCCTTGAACCCATGGCGTTAAGCAAAACGTGTAGATTCTCCCTGTGTGCCGCAGGACGGAGGAAAGCACGAGCCGAACTATAGCGTGAACCTCCACTACAATTAAACACATCCTGTAGTCATGGTTTAAATTTATGACACTTTAAGATATCGGTTTTCATTTACACAAATGACATAATCGAAAATAGTAAGATCACTACATACCTAGTATAAAACAAAGTCGCTTTCTCTGTCCCTACATCCCTATGTATGCTTAAATCTTTAAAACTACGCAACGGATTTTGATGCGGTTTTTTTTAATAGATAGAGTGATTGAAGAGGAAGGTTTATATGTATAATAACATCCATTAAATAGTGGAGAGAAATCAATAATAAATTACAGTTTCCGAAGCGAAGCGAGGGCGGGTCACTTGTTGTATTTAAATAATTATATCAATAACGTCTTTTAAAAATTATATATATTTTATATATGGATAAATTTTCATAAATTTAATATTTGGTTCCAGTTCTACTTTAGATTTCGAGCATGTTTCAATAGAAATAGTGGCATATACGCTGCGGTGTCTGCTAATCATGAGATGGGCCGTTGCTTAGAACTTTCCATCTACCGCAAACAAAAAAATCTTATTATATAATTTTTATTTTATACTTTAGAAACCTTTGTGTGGTAATTAACGCAACTCACTCATTCATAGCTTGTGCGATTGTGAATCCTGTTATCGTTTCCCCATTCAGATCACTAGTAGGAGGATATCCGAGCTCAATTGCAGCTGAGACCACATCATGAGCGAACTGCGGCGCATACCGGAACTGCGAATTTAAGTCACAATGTAATGGCATGACACGACGAAAAGCAAATCGACGACGACATCTAAAATGCAAAAAGAATATATATCTAGATCGTAAAATTGTAAAAATGTGGACCCAAAATGTAGAAACGTGTTTTTTTTTTTTCATTAAATAAAAATGCGAAAATGACGTACATCAAAAATTGCGGCAACAAATTGTTTAAAAATATTTTGGGGGTGACAAACAGCTATTTTTTTTCGAATTTAATGGTTAAACTAATCATTTAAGGGTCAGTTTTAGTAATTTATAGATATGTTTAATTAAATATTACTAGACGATGACCGAACTTTGCTCGTTTTTTTTTGATAACGCCATCTTGTTGTGCCTCTTTAAAGCGGCTAGTTGCCCTCAATTAAGAAAAATAGCTTTATTATTCGCCAATAGATGTCGGGAAGACTTGATTATTTATTATTGAAAACACGAATAAAACAACATTTTCGGAAAATAAATCGTAGCTAGATCGATTTATCGCCCTCGAAATCCCCTGTGTACAAAATTTTATGAAAATCGTTGGAGCCGTTTCCGAGATTCAGATTATATATATATATATATATATATTCATATAAAATAATTGCTCGTTTAAAGGTTTAAGATTATATATATATATTAATATACAAGAATTGCTGGTTTAAAGGTATAAGATAAATACCCTCAAAGTTCACTTCTACGTGTCGAAAACCATGTTTAAACCACGATTAAGAACTTGGAACTAGAATTAAAATCAGTTCTGGATCGTAATCTCCTCGACTTCCTTACTTATACTTATAATGTCTATCTACCTTTTGCACCGGCATGAGGCCACCAGTTGTATGATATTGACTAGACACCCCGTTCCCGATTTCCTTATTGTCTTCGCTTTTTAAGAAGTGTGGAAGTACATCGAACCACGACCAACCCTCGGCGCCGTTTACAGCCCATCCGTCGTAATCGGCAGCGTGACCTCTCATATACATCATGCCGTTGATAACACTACAGCCACCTAAAGTAAATTTCAACGCATTAAGATTGGTTCAGACTAAACATTCAGATTTCTATCCGGTTTTTGGTACTTTACTTCGAATAGCCGAGTTATGTATCGACGAAATGACCAACTGTAATTACCTATAGTGATAGTAAGTTAATTTTAAGTCTATAGCCCATCCATCGTAATCGGCAGCGTGACCACACATATACATCATACCGTTGATAACACTACAGCCACCTAAAGTAAATTTCAACGCATGAAGATTGATTCAGACTAAACAAACATTCAGATTTCTATTCGGTTTTTGATACTTTACTTCGAACAGCCGAATTATGTATCCATGAAATGAACAACAGTAATTATAATGATAGTAAGTTAATTTTGAGTCTATTTAATACTATAATAGCATTAAAATGTGGAAGGTAATGACTGAAAACGATATATGGAGGACGCGCCATAACGACAAGTTGTATGATATTTCCAAGGATCCTAATATCATAAAAACTATAAAAATTGGACGCCTACGATAGGCAGGACATGTAGTTCGAATGGAGGAGACCAGAATGTCAAGACAACTAGTATATGGCGAACCAGAGGACCGCAGAAGTCGTGGCAGGCCCAAACTCCGATGGTTAGATGGCGTAGAGCACGACCTCAAAGCTATCGGTGTCAGGAACTAGAAGGAACAACCCTGAACAGAGCAGTCTGGAGAGACATACTGGACCAGGCTAAGGCCCACCCTGGGCTGTAAGGTGGTAGGACCTCTTGTGAGTCCGCACGGGTAGGTACCCACCGCCCTGCCTATTTCTGCCGTGAAACAGTAATGCGTTTCGGTTTGAAGGGTGGGACAGCCGTTGTAACTATACTTGAGACCTTAGAACTTATATCTCAAGGTGGGTGGCGCATTTACGCTGTAGATGTCTATGGGCTCCAGTAACCACCTAACGCCAGGTGGGCTGTGAGCTGTTCCACCCATCTAAGCAATAAAAAAAAGGTCTAAGATGGTGAATGACTGAAAAGAACTGTTGATGTCCATGAGCGACGGTAACTACTTATTATCAACTTAAATCAAATAAAATTCATTTACCCAACATCTTTCCTCTCGGCCACGAGCATATTCCTCCATTGGCGAGGCATGCTTTCTCTTGAGGCTCAGTATAATACCGCCAATCTGTGTCATTGCGACCCCAATAAGCGGTCACCCAAGATGGCACCGCTGATTGAATAGGCTCGTCTCCTCCGGCTTCTAATAGTAACACCTGGTAACAATATTAAACATTTCTTTCAATAAGCTATTAACAGGCGAAGTTAAGGCAAAGCCCATCCACAGACACGAGATATAAGATTGAACTTCTGCTGCATACATAGACGTAGTACGTTTTGGGAAACTGTTTTAGATTGACATATTGTGTGAAAAAACCAGTTAATGTATATTTATTTACGCGATTTTAAGTGTTTGCTAAATAAAACCATAAGTATTTTGTGTGATAATTCACGTGACCATCAAATAATACAGAAGCTATTACGATGTGATACGAGGCCTTGATTTTTTCTAGAAGATGTAGCATCGAGGTAATTTTGTATATGTACTCGTAATTATAAACTGACCGCAAGGTGTTTTGTACGTCAAAAAAAAACACAAATCCTTTAATGAACCACGAATTGCTTCTTATTGTAGTACTTTGCAAAAAAAACACAATCATAATTAGTTTATACCATAAATAAAAACATTATTGTAATAAAGACAGTAATATAAGGAAAGGGCATCCTAAAATGACTTAGTTAGACTGTGCGAAAGTAAAAACGAAAGAGAAAAGGGTGAGTACCTGTGTTTCTATGATCAGTGGTGAGTACAGATATGACATCTGATAAGTCTGAATGGAAAAATAGGACATTCTGCGCCGACCCCACATAGTGTGATAATTGTAAGAAAAAGAAGATCATAATTAAAACCTTTTACTCTCTGCGATTTTTAAATAGTAAAACAAAAGAAATATCCTTTTCTAAGAAATATCTTTTTTCTTTTTTTTAAACAATAGTTCAGGATTGGAAGCTATGTTTTCATTACGGAAACTTCACAAATGGAATCGTAAAGAAATCGATTTCAGCACTGGTGAAGTTTATTAAGTTTATTCTACGATAAATTTTTAAATAATTCAATGTACAAAATACATCATTCTCTTACGATACGATAAACTCTTTTTTTTTTAAATGCACTATAATTTCTTACATTTCCTGGAGCTTAGGTGACTTGAGGTCCAAGTCTCTATTGGGATTATGGAGCGAAATTGCAACACATACAAGCAAAAGCGAGCTCACAATATGCCTCATACCACATAATCGAACGTGTTATAGTCAACTACTAAAGTACTTGAAGACTGCGTCGAATTTGTAGGTTAAAGAGAAAAAACTGCATGTGCGTACACAATCGACGGAACTTCGCTTGATCAATGATCGTATTAGTTGTAATAAAACACACAGTCTGGAGACCTAATTTGTTAAGTCTTATTTTTTACCTAGAGCACAGCACACTAATTACCCAGCAACGTCCCGCATTCCTCCCATTCGGAAAGTCAAATATTCGGATCTGGGTGCGTAAAGGCGTGGATTGAGTTTCGCGTCGTATATAACATCTAAATATATATAAAAAATATTGTTGAACCAATGCTCAGCGAAAGAAAATTCTTTACGGTCACAAGCCTTGAACAAATAACTATTAACTTTAATTTTTTATTACTAATGCTACCATTAATGTTTGTAAGGTCCGATAGCTACATGACATTAGGTTGACCTTGAGATTATCTGATTTAGAATAATAAAAATCATCTTGCATGTCTGTGCATCACTGGACTCGAATTTGTCAGGCACTTTACCTACGAGTATAAAACTTTAATTGCTGAGTCTGGATTGAAAATAAATTACCTTCCATTGAGGATTCTCTGAGAGTCTTGCAGCCACCACTGCACCAGCTGTCCCACCGCCCACGACAACAAAGTCGTAGCTATCATCAAGTTGATCTCTGCTCTTGATTCTGTTGCAAGGGTCTGCTAAATCACAGCGCCCATTGATGAATGACTCCAATATACTCATGAAGAGTAGGAATTGACCCGGACAAGACCCTGCCATTGCTGGCCCCACCTCTTCGATGGGGCATGCGCATGCCTAAGATAATAGATTAATTTGTTAAATTGCATTTTGTGTATTAACAATGAATGGTAAACAAATAAAGTTCACATTACAATGTGAACTTTTTTTTATTGCTTAGATGGGTGGACAAGCTCACAGCACACCTGGTCTTAAGTGGTTACTAGAGCCCATAGACATCGACAACGTAAATGCTCCACCCACCTTGAGATATAAGTTCTAAGGTCTCAAGTATAGTTACAACGGCTGCCCCACCCTTCAAACCGAAACGCATTACTGCTTCACGGCAGAAATAGGCAGGGTGGTGGTACCTACCCGCGCGGACTCTCAAGAGGTCCTACCACCAGTAAAAAACTTATTTATTATTGCTTAGGTGGGTGGATGAGTTTACGGCTCACCTGGTTTTAAAAGGTTACCGGAGCTTATAGACGTAACAACGTAATGCCGCCTGCCTCCCCATTTGAGTTTTTAGTCTCAGTTTTATAGTACACAAAACTCTAACTTATCTTATTTAAGTATTAGATTTGATTTTGAGGTCGAAAACAACATAAATTAAGGAAGCTACATAGAAAAAAACAAGAATATAAATTAAAATAATTATGATTAATATTAATTTATATTAATATTAATATTAGATTAAATTTCCATAAAAAAATGTACAATAGTCCTCGTCGATGATAATTTCGATTACTAAACAGATTTATGACTTACAAGCGTGTATAAGATTACTTGTTACACCAGACTATATTTTTTTATTGCCCTTGCAGGGAGACGAGCCTACGGTCCATCTGAACCATGAACATCAGAAATACCAGGGCCAGAGCTAAGCGACTACCTACCCAAAAACCTATCTATCTTGAAAACTTAACCACTAGACTGACAATAGAGATGTTCGCAGTTGCTTCACAGTTGTTTAAAATTATAACAGGACTAACTAACAGGATAACTAGGTTCTTCTTTGATGATGTGGTATTTTCTATCAAGTAATATGTATATAGGTGATTTTATTTTAAACCTTTTTTATAAATAACTTAGTCTCTGTACCATATTTTAATAATAATTTTACTTAGTCTTTTGTCTTTACGGCTTTGTCGTATTTTTCTTCAAACAAATTTTGAAAAGCGACAATATGATAGGTAGCGACGTGACCATGCCTCCAGTACCATATACATGAGCCACGATAGGCACTTACCACCAGGTGCTTAAGCTGGTTTCGTTTTGATCAACAAAAAAAAACATAACAATGCTTAACCTACACTTATCCATTGAAATCTGTGTTTTTGTTACTGACGGTAGAGCATCTTGTGAGTCCACATGGATAGGTACTACTACCCTGCCTATTTCTACCGCGTAGCAGTAATGCATTCCGACTCGAAGAGTAGGGTCATCATTGTACGATAAAACTGAGTTTTCATTGTCAAGATGGGATTCATGTCTTAAGGTGGGTGGCGGCATTAACGTTTTTGATGGGGTAACCACTTAACACCATGTGAGCATGGTGCCCGTTCAACTATTTATGCAATAAAAAACCAGTACTATTAAAGTGAAGAATGAACAAATCACGATCAGGAATGAAATGTCGTGCATTTCCTTGTTAGGCTGATTTTACAGTCACGCAATATATAATGGTGACTTCGTGATATAATTAGAAAAACTGAATTGTCCTATTATCCTTGGTTCTTGTAACTCACTGAACTACACAAAGAGGATCAATAGAATGCACGCAGGTGTGGATAATTAGAAAAAATATTCTTGCGCGGTGTCGCAGAGTAACATAGACGTCGGGCCGTCGGAAGTGTAGTACACGAGCGGGCTGTAAACGACCCCTAGAACACCTCGAGAATATAGAAGGGAGCTCCTGGCTCCTTCGTCTAGCTTGCGGTAGTGTGGTCCAACCTTAAGTGGTGCGGGAGTACACATAACAAGTGCCTCTCGCCTCAGGTTGCCTATGGGGTTCCCCCATTTGCAACCCTTCGCTATTCCCTCCCGTGACTTTTTCTGGGTAGAGTTTTCATCCCCTCTCATTCCCGAGCTTCGCGACAAAGAGAACCCAAGTTGGAAGTAGCATACTTAACGCCTTAAGCTGCCTCTGTGAGCCGGAGCAATGCCAGCCTGCCAAAAACTATCAAATATGATTCCACTAACTATCATTGTTCTCGTCTAAGTATTATCCAGCAAAATCATCATCCCTGCCCCATTGGATAAAGAGTTTCTGTCCGGGTAAAGGGATTTTCCTCGTGGCCGTCCGTGTCCCGTACACACGATGATTGTTATTAAAATTATTATTTTTATTGCCCTTGCAGGCAAACGAGCATACGGCCCACCTGATGGTGAGTGGTTACCGTCGCCCATGGACTTCAGCAATGCCAGGGGCAGAGCCAACCCTCTGCCTACCGTTAAGTACTCTCCACAAGCCTCGTTTGAAGAAGGATATGTCATAGCACTCGGGAAACACAGTGGAGGGGAGCTCATTCCAAAACCGGATGGTACGTAGCAAAAAAGATCTCTGGAAACGTACTGTGGATGAATGCAGTGGCAGGTAGTATGGATGAACTCTACTCCAGTGCGATGGTAAAAACGAGATTATAGCATCATCTCAAACAATTAAATGTTAGATTAGTTTAATTCCGGCGCGACTTGTTAAGCGAGGTCACGTGCGTGCGAAGTAGCAGTTAATTTATTTGTAAACGTGCTTCCGATATACATACATACATAAAAGAACACCCCCAGATATTTTCAGGCATAAATCACCAATTCTCCTTATAGTAGTAACGAGAATGGATAGAATACGGAATGAATATGTTAGAGGAAGTCTGAAAGTGGCACCTATGACAGAGAAGCTGAGAAGTGCGCGTTTGGGATGGTATGGACGTGTGATGAGACGAAATGAAAATGAGGTTGGAAAGAGAATGTTAACTATGAATGTGGAAGGACATAGAGGAAGAAGTAGACCTAAGAAGAAATGGATGGATTTCGTGAAAGACGACATGGGTAAGAAGGGAATGAGCTAAGAAATGGTATATGATAGAAGAGTATGGAAGGAGAAAACATGTTGCGCCGACCCCAGATGACTGGGAGAAGGGCAGGATAATGATGATGTATAAAAAAAAGCGGGATTAAGCCGTAAAAGTACTTTTAATTCGTGACTAACACAAGGGCGAGCTCAGCTCACCTGTTAATTAGTGTTTATCAGAGCCCATCGAAATCACAATGTGAATACGGCCACCCGCCTTATAGCATTGAAGGGCAACACTATAACAGCTAAATACTTTTAACTAATTAGTTTTCATTGACACATTTTAATATTACGAACCTCTGCTGCTCGTATCATCTTCTGTCTTCAAAAAAGATACCTGTAAAAAAATGTAAAAACCATCAATGGTTTCCAATGTTACAATTCGACCTAAAAAAAAATAGGAAAGTTCAACTCAGCACGTAACTTCTTTTTGTATTTTGTGTTGTACTTTTTGTAAATTATTGGGCAAGTACATACTCGTATTAAATTATGTGAATTACTCGTATATTTAATGTAGGACACATTTAGCGGTGGATTTACACTAGGAGCAGTCGGGGCAAGTGCCTATGGCGGCAATTTTTTGAGGCGGCAAAATTTTGAAAGCGGAAAAATTATTTAATTGTTAAAAAAAAACAAATATTTATTTATGTTTTTGGAATATATAATAAAATTTCTGCAGTAAATTAGTTATTTTAATTTTGAAAAATAAAATATATAAACTATATTAATATACCTACTAGTTTAAGTAAATTTCCAGTATTGGGGCGGTTTTTTTTTCCGGTGCCCAGGAGCGGTATTAAGTTTAAATCCGGTCCTGGACTACTACTACTAGCAATAGGACATATTAATAAGCCGAACATGTAAGTACCGTATATCTGTTCATTACTACCCCGAAGTAGTCATGAAAATCGTAAGAGATTCACCGGAAAATGGATAGCAGCGTTCTCTGTGTACTATACCAGGCTACTGCAATGACCAACGGGCATCCAACGTGATAAGGCGTCTAAGTCCACACGAGTATATACTACTATCCTGCCTATTTCTGCCGCGGAGCAGTCACACCTTCTGATTTGAAGTTCCGATGTTTTACAAAACATTAACAATAGAACGGGTTGCACTATTGACTTTGCATAACTTGAATCTGTGTTGCATAACTGCCCCGTGACTAACATATTCAAAACCACCGAAAGATTTAAAATATAAATTAATTAATTAATTATCTAAGTATTAATTTCCTGTAAACTTTTTTTTCTTGTCTTACTGAAAAGATCTATTGATACCAAATAAATTACGAACCTAAAATTTATAATAAATTTTAAGTTCTTCTTCTTGAGAATTAATCTGAAAACCAGAATTTTAAAACGATGCAAATATCCCTTACAGTTATAAAAATGAGAAGGTTATTAAACTTCGAACACTTCGAACAAAGGCATTACCATCAGAACCAGTTATTTATTTATCCAAACAAATATGAAACATTAGGAATGCAAGCTCAAATACAGAAAACTAGTTACCTACTTTAAGAAATTGGCTGTTTCATGTACAGTTATGATTTTGTTTACTTGTATTAATCAAGCACATAAGTAAACTAAGCATAGTCTAAAAAGTCCAAGCATAGTAAAAACCAAAAGTTACAAAAAATTGACGTGATAGTAGGTCTTTTTCGGTTAGTATTCAAAAAATCATTTAGGATTAGGCTCTTTTTCAGTAAATACAGTAATCGCTTTTTACGGCCCCTAGAGAAAGAGATAGTATGATGCTATTCTAGGGATCTAGTCTAGAAGGGACAAAATCCAAAGATATAGCAAGAAACACGCACGGGAATTATGAATCCCCTATTTTTTTGCTCATTTTTATTATGTTGCCAAGAGGTTAGTGACACTTCCAGTTATCATAACTATTTACGACTTCTTAAAACGCGTATCTCAGACTTTGTTGCCGCTACCATTGAAAAATTTAGTCCATACACTGATCGATTTTAAATAGTGCAAACATTTCCTTCTCGTCTCTATTCAATAATATGCTATACAATTAATAAATTATAATTGTTTATGAAAAATGAAAGAACTCATCGCGACTCCCCAACATAAACTTACGTAACTTAACCATCCTACATCCATAATAACTTTAATGCATACTTTATAAAGTACTAGCTGACCCGGCAGACTTCGTAGTGCCTCAATCGATAAATAAAAGACCTAAACTTTTGTATAAACAAAATTGTTATTTTTATTTAATTCCGAGCATTTTCATATTTATCTACCTTTTAAACCTTCTCTGAACTTCGACAAATAATTCAAGACCAAAATTAGCCAAATTGGTTAAGCCGTTCACGAGTTTTAGCGAGACTAACGAACAGCAATTCATTTTTATATATGTATATAGATACATAAATATCGTTACATCGTATTTTACTTTACTCTATCTTCAAGTTTATGATATTACTTCATTTCAAAAAAAATAAATTGGTCCTTTTTCATACATTTATTAGCTGGTTTGTGCTTTCAGATGAATTTAATATGTTCGTCTTACAACTTTATAGTAAGTGGTTTACAGCTATAGTGGCCGTCTTTCAAGAGTCACCTTTTTAAGAGCATTGAAATGTTAATTACACATCTTAACAACTCTTACAGAAAAGTTATATACTTACAAAACAACAGAGACAATTGTCATGAATTTCATTGTTTTTATTATTATTATTGTTTTTTATAGTATTTATAGCCCACCCGTTTATACGTAATAATATGCGAAGCTGTGTAATACCTTGTTCTCCTCTGCATATCAATTGAGATTGTTTTCGTTTTGTTAAGCCGTTTTACAGTTTTCAAAAAAGTTTGAAAATGTATTTTTTCCACCTCTACAAGAATCAAATGTCAATAACACAACCAAAGAGAAAACGTAATACAAAAAACGATTCTTAAGCTGTAGGTAATTATGTTCAAATTTCAACCACAGGGTGAATAGTTGCTTATGCATTAAAAGAGTTGAAAATAATAGTTTAAAAAAACTAACAAAATACGCTTTTATAGAAAATCCAACTAAAAAATAGAAAATGTACGAAAAAATGATTTATTTTTTACAATAAAATCATTTTTTCTTACACTATTTTTAATTCAAATTTATTTTCTATTTTTTAGTTGGATTTTCTATAAAAGCGTATTTTGTTAGTTTTTTTAAACTATTATTAATTTTTCATTTTTTGGTTGACTTTAAATTTTTTCAATACTTTTTTTAAAATGAATTGTCATCGGTCCTTAATAAGTATACCAAATTTCGAGTTAATCCGACGTTTTGATGGGGGTCAAAATCATGTTCAAAGATTCTATTACATACTAACATACACATATCTGAAGCTAATAAAAGTGTATTAAAAACCGAATTGGTAAACGATAAAATAATGTGATTTTAAAATCAAAATTTATTGTATTTAATAAATAATTATAACAATTCTCGTTTTTCTGTCCACATTTCTTAAGGGTTGCTTTACGTATTTATTCTTTAAAAATATACATTACGATCAAATAAAAAAAAATTAAATAAAAATATACGAACCTGTATAAATTTTGTCACTCACACTAGTAAATGGTAAATGAAGATGAGCGCGCGTTGCAGGTGAGTTTGTTACCGCGGACCGCGTCAAACTAACGCAGTCTGTATGAGATGATTGTATACTATATCAATTCAAAGTACTGTATATTTACCTGGATGATGATTTTATTTTTAATTTTTTTATTGCTTAGACGGATGGACGAGCTCACAGCCCACCTGGTGTTAAGTGGTTACTGGAGCAAATAGACATCTACAACGTAAATGCGCCATCCACGTATAGTTACAACGGCTGTCCCACCCTTCAAACCGAAACGCATTACTGCTTCACGGCAGAAATAGGCGGGGTGGTGGTACCTACCTACTACCAGCTTACATAATAGGTAACTTACTCTGTTTATCCTATGATTATAGTACTTTTTGTTATTATTTTTTGTCAAACTCTTGTCTAGGTAAATGACCGAAGTCAAAACTCAACAGTGATTTTATTTTGAATGCAATCATTACAGTCCATTTTTGTAAAAAAATTCTCGCAAAATGGAAGGATTTCATTATTAGGTACATGTATACATAAAAATCACTGTTCACTACACATACGAATTTGAAGACCTGATTCGTTTTTGGCTATTCCTATTAAAGCCTAGCAAATAACTCTTGCAAATATTTAGCACTCACATGCCAGCAGAATAAAAAAATTCATAAATAATGATGACCGTGTAATTTTTTAACAAAACCTGATCACTGTGGTCACTCTTTTTTTTATATCTTCATATCAATAACTCTACTTTACTACACGGAAGTAGCAATATTTTTTCCATATTTTTTTTTACATAACCAGTACCGAATTGGTGTGATTTCCATTTAGGCATACAAGTTTTTGTTAATTGTTTGTTGTTGTCTTAAAATCATAATATGATCAGTTTACTTTTGTTTACAAAACTCACGGCCGTGAACTAAACGTGCAAAGGATTTTGACATGCCAACTAATGATCAAATGTAGGCATACTTACCTTACTATATTTCGTCTTTGTCAGCAACTTATCGTCATCGTCCATTATTAGCGATAACTCTCTTAGAAAACACTTATGTTTGATGAGTTCTTACCACAATATTCGAATTGAGCTGAGCGAACTTTTCAGCGTGCGATCCCCATAAACATGAACAGTATATTAAAAATATTATATTTCTATGGATTTATTATTACCTATAGCTATTGCCTATAGCGAAAGCCTTAGTTTTTTTTGTTGATGTAGAAACACACCGCCCTCGTAATGTAACAACAATTCACTACCAATAACAAGTCACCAGAGACATTGCTACGTGAACCCCATCACCCCCTTCAAATACGAGGACTAAATCTCAATTTTATAGTCTGACATCTACCACATCCTTCAAAACGGCACACATTATTGCTTCACGGCAGAAATAAGCACGGTGGATCCTTGCCTAACCAAACCATCCGGGGTCACAAAACATCCATTATGAAGTCGTCGTGGTCGTCTTATCTAAAAGATAAGAAGTCCGGTGCATTCTTGTTGAGCGATGCACCGGTGTTCGAATCCCAGGCGGGTACCAATTTTTCTAATGAAATACGTACTCAACAAATGTTCACGATTCACTTCCACGGTTAAGAAATAACATCGTGTAATAAAAATGAAACCCGCAAAAATTATAATTTGCGTAATTACTGGTGGTAGGGCCCCTTGAGTCCGCACGGGTAGGTACCACCGCCCTGCCTATTTCTGCCGTGAAGCAGTAATGCGTTTCGGTTTGAAGGGTGGTGCAGCAGTTGTAACTATACTGAAACTTTAGAACATATATCTCAAAGTGGGTGGCGCATTTACGTTGCAGATGTCTATGGGCTCCAGTAACCACTTAGCACCAGGTGGGCTGTGAGCTCGTCCACCTATCAAAGCAATTTTTTTTTTTTTAAATTCCCAAATTAATACTTTACGCAAATGAACACGACAGTTTTCCTTTTGTGAACGTGTAATGTAATTTACCTGCTCAAGCCAAAACCATATTTTATAATGATTTTGATGTCTGATTGCCTATTAGTACTATTAGTCTAAAGTAAAATATGCCAATACATTTTTTATCGCAACATTGAAGAAAAGAACATTTTGAATTATCATCGGCAACTTTTAATCAGACAAGCTCCGATATCAAATATTTTTAACTATTAAGCACAGAAACTCTGTAACCGGGGAAATAAAGATTCCCATGAAGGCAACAATTAGAGGCCACGAATATTTCGTTGGTGCATTCACAAATCACAATACGTGGCCATTACTAATGCAGATGTTCCGGTCGTTGTCAAACCGGCGCGGCTTATTTTACCGTAGTGACATCGAACGATTTCTGGTTCAAACATGAAAAGCAAACACAATGTCAATGAATTTGCTTGGATATGTGGAAAAACCTTGTTTTTTTTTGTGATTGAAGTATTACTGGTGGCCCGGAGGCCTTCCCAGTTTCACCAGGACAGGTGGGCGAGCAAGGCTCAGCAGAAGGGGTGGGATTTGCTAACAACTACCCGAACGCCTTCGAAGAAGACCTAACAACTCAAGAGTAGCTGCTTCACGAATGAATCTACTACCGAGTCTGAATCGTGACCCGCTGAGAAGATCTGGCGAGAAACTCAGTAGGCTGATGCATGGGTTATTATGTTATTATTATGTTGCACGTCGAACGAACCCTTTGCCGAGTTCTACGACTACGGTTACCGGAATCCTTAAGCCTGCTCCTAGTGTTAGAGCTGAAGGTATCTAATGCAAGAGTTATTGGATCTGATGGATCCGTAAAGACCTGTCTAGGGCGACGACGGTTACTTGCTCATGCGTGATCAGGATTTTCTTGAAAACCTTGGAAAACACAGGTTAAACCTTGTTTCTACTCCTTAACCGAAATAATGAGCTACCGTAATGAAGAATGAAAATGAAAGAAAGTGTCAGTGATCTAAGAAGTAAGAGGCCCGGTAATCAAATGTTCTGATAGTTACTATTACTCTAAGCACATTATGCTTTATTTAGTACTTAACAGGCATATGCAAATACCATCTTGGAATATTATATAAAATTTGGCATGGTGGTGCTGTGTTGCGCGTTGATACGATCCAGTACGCCTATTTATTTCTATTAGGGTCCCCAATGCCAAAAATGATCACAAATAACCACGAGACTGGTAGAGCGATCGATGTAATGACCCAATTCTCAACTTTTCCCTTGTTTGCACCCGCATTGTCAGATTTACTAGAAAATTATCATATCCTACATATGCGGAATGCTGTATAGATAAAGTAAATAGATAGTAAAGATGTCCCGTATGACAACATAATAACTTACTAGATCCCGATCATTGATCCTCATTCACGATTATTGAAATAAATATTCATAATGAATAATCACAAAATTAAGGTAGGTACATTATTGTTCGTTTGGTTGCACACGACCAAACCTGATGGAAGGTGGTTACCCAATGCCGTCTTTACCATAAGGGCTCAAGGGGCCCGTGCCCAGGGCCTCCATTCTCAGGGGGCCCCGAAGGACCGACAATTTCTCTCACACATTTATTCTCAGAACATTTTTGTCGGGCACATTACACTTTTTTCACAAATCAGTAATCTTATCAGAAGGTATTTATAAGGCATATACTACGCCATTATATCGATGACTGCGCCTATTTCAACTGTACTAATTAATAATATTTCCGAACGCATCCTACCTAATTTACTAAGTACTGCATCTAGCCATCACGATAACGGTTTACGCTATCGTAATCGTAACCATAAAACCAGCAGCAATCTAATATAATTAATGACATATTATATCATACTGTATTTGATTGAAAAATGGTCGTACTCAGTAATTTTTTATTATAATTCGCTTTTTTTTACTTTCCAAAAGGGCCTCAAATTCTTGTGTGCCCAAGGGCCCCAGACTGATTTAAGACGTCCCTGTGGTTACCGTCGACTTCAACTTAAAACCCTTTAACCTCAAGAATGAATTCCGTTTCACATTTATTTTCACTATGAAAACTGAAAATAACAAGTTTTAAAATAGCAAAACTTTAAAATAACAAGTATTTTCTTCCTAAAAGAATACTCTGAATTCATTATAATTCTACTACCATAACGTTCCAGCTTCGCTGTTTTCGATACCTGTTTTGATCACATATTTGAAAAACCCAAATAATTTAATTTAAAATCTCTCGGCTTTTTTTTGTATCGTGTACAATAAATTTTATAGTACTTTATTTGCACGGTCCTCTTTTTAATCTGCCTCAGCTTTAAACAATGTATCAAAACCTCCAGGACCGTCACAAATTGAAGTGCGACTTGCTTTCTAAGAATCAATTTTGTTTTATTAAGATACTAGTTGACCCGACCGACGTTGCTTGTCCAATTAATTATTGTTACCTAAAAAACCTCAATTATAATTTTGCTAAAATTTGAAGACCACCTTCGGTCCGAACCTTCTCACATGATCCGATTACGAACGAACAACATTTCCTTTTTATTTATACATATATGCAGAACAGGCAACGTGAAACTGTCCGCTAGACATTATGTTGTGAAAATTCCAACTGGAGTGCCGACTACTAAATTATTACTTTTTACATTTATTTTCCTTTAATTCAAGGAAAAAACACCAAGAGGATGACATAATGGTGATGTCCTATTTTTCAAAATGCCCTTTTTTATTTCCCCACCGATAACTGAATACTGACATTTAGGTACTGAACATATATTGTTTTTCATTATGGTTAGTGTAGTGATTTAATGCCATTTCAACTTTGAATACGGTTTCCTATTTCAACAAATAAACTAAATTAAAATAAACAAGTTTGTTAGTTATGGTTATTTTTTTTTTTAAATTAAAGGGTAATTGCGGCACTTAGTGTAAATTTTTAAAAGGTTAGTATATATCTAACTGAAATTAAAAATAAAAATACAAAACTCACGAATAAGCGTTTGGTTGATACGAGAATGCCTTAATTGTAGTTTCTATATATTCTGCTATATTTATAACTAAATATTGAGGTTTGCGACATAAATGAAAATCATATTGAATTACAAACTTTAAAATGTTAAGGGGACGTTGACAT